TGTCATGAGGAAATAAAATAGAATGGGGAATTTTGTTATCTAAAACCGAAGAGGGCATACTATTAATAAGATAACGAGCGGTAAGAACGACATCACCCCAAAAATGTTGAGGAACCTCACCATGAATTAAAAGAGTACGGGTTGTTTCAATAAGGTGTCTATTCTTGCGCTCAACCACCCCATTTTGTTGAGGGGTATAAGCACAGGAAGTTTGATGAAGAATGCCATGAGAAGCCATAAATTGTTTGAACGAGTTTGAAAGATATTCACGGCCATTATCACTTCGAAAAGTTTGAATAGAGACACCAAATTGATTTTTAATTTCATGATAAAAGTTTTGGAATATAGAAAACAACTCAGAACAATTTTTCATTAAAAATAACCAAGTACAACGAGAGAAATCATCAATAAAAGTAACAAAATATTGAAAACCTAAATTAGACTTAACACGATTGGGTCCCCAAATGTCGAGTGAACTAAGGCAAAGGGGGATGAAGCACGCTGGGAAACACTACGAGAAAAGGAAGTACGACTATGTTTGCCTAACCGACGGGACTCACACACCAAATTGGACAAGCTGGGATAAGCTGGGAACAAGTTGCTTGTAATTTGCGCAGACTCGGGGTGACCAAGCTGAGCATGAAGGAGAGAAGGAGACTCCATAAGCTGTGCCAACATGTGGAGAAGGTTGAAGATAATAAAGTCCATGTGACTCACATCCAGGTGCCAATCACTCTTTGCGAGCTCCGGTTACGTAGGGAAACAAAAGTTTTGGTAAAAGAGATAACACAATCAAGAGATCTAGTTAGACGGCTAATGGATAATAAGTTAAAGGGGGACCCGGGTACATACAAAACATTATCAATGGACAACGAGGGAAAAAGAGTAACCGTTCCAACACCATGAGCTAAAGTTGTAGACCCATTAGCCATTGTAACGGAGGGTAAATTATGAGAAGAAGTGAAAGAGGAAAATAAGGATTTGTTACCGAGTGATGTGATCGGTGGCGCTCGAGTCAAGAACCCAAGGGCCAATAGAAGAAGAGTGAGTCGGACCAAGCAAAAGATGTACCTGTGTGGGCAACGAAGTAGTGGAAGCCTGGAGGGCTTTCGATCCTCATACCATTGAAGAAAATCATTGAAGATAGCAGATTTGTCCGAAGGTACGGACGAAGGAGGATCCACGACGAGAGGATTGTGCGGAAGAATCGGTCCCGAGCAAGCTGCGATAGATCGGCGAGGATAACCATGTAAAGCATAACATTTGTCAATTTTGTGGCCTAGTTTGCCACAATGGTCACACTTGACACGCCCTTTGCCCGGCTTGTGAGAGCGATTACGATCATCACGGTGAGAGCGATTACGATCATCACGGTGAGAGGCCAAGGCGAGATGAATCATTAGAAACTACAGGGGGAATATTGAGAGGTTTACATGGCACCCGCAAAGGGAGGAACTGGTAGCGGTAAAGCTGGGTGTAACAGGGGAACCCAAAATGCGGTCACGAACGAGGGCATATTTATCAGCAAGTCCGTGTAACATCAAAACCATGAAAAACTTTGATCGTTGCTCTAATTCTTGGGCAGGAGTCGAGGCGGGGGTAATAACTCATTAAATTCATGGAGAAGAGCATGGATCTTACCCACATAATCCGCCACAGGATCCTTATCTCGAGGAGCAATAACATCAAGAAGATTGTAACAAACACCATAAAGACGTTGAGTGTCATTGGTGTATAATAATTTGGCTTGTTCCCAAACGTCATAACATGTGCCATACGATCGAAAAATTTGTTTTAAAGAAGATTGGATGGTATTCTTGAGAACCATACATATATGAGCATCAACTTTCTTCCAACGGACACGATCATTGGAAGGAACATCATCTACCTTGGTAGTAAGATGATCAACATACCCACGACTCTCAAGCCAAAGTCTAATATCGGATGCCCAAGTTGCATAATTCGTACCATCTAATTTATCAATGGGTAAATTCACATTGACATAATTAGTAAAAGCAGATTGCTCGAGACCCACCGGAGCTGACGGAGGTAACTTCGAATTGGAAGTGGCAGCGGAAGATGTCATGGAGGAAGAGAGAGAAAAACCCTAAAACACCAAAGAGGTCCGATTGGAGCAGCGAGGACAGATCCAGAGAGAGGAGAAGGAGGCGACGCCGGCGCAAAGATCGGCGGCCTGAACGGCGGCGAGACGCGCCGCCACGCGCGGCAAAATGGGAGAAGGTGGCGCGGCTTCGGGAGGCGCGTGAGGGAGCGTGGCTGCTCCGATGACCGCGAAACTTCCACAGTGGAGGTCGCACGGAGGAGGCGAGCAAAACCCTGTGCTCGGCGGTCCGAACTGCTACTCTGGTGACGGCGGCGGCGGCGGCGGCGGACGGCGGTGGCGATGGAGGCGGCGACAGCTGCAGGTTTAGTGGCAGAGCCGAAAAAAATCCCAAGAGACCTTAAGCTCTTGATACCATGTTGAATATAGGGAAAAACTGTATAGGGTTAATTTCCCTTATGTATTTACCACACATAGGGCAGTGTATTTATAATAAAGAAAGGTACTCCTCAAAAGAGTAACAGAATACAAATAGAGTAAATAAAAAGATATTATTTGATATTGTGATTAACAATATCTAACAATATCTCAACAATATCAAACAATATCAACTAATATCTAATCATATCTAACAGTTTTCAATTCCAAAATTTGTAAATGACGCCTAAGCCCATCATGATTGGTGTCAGGCTATGCTTGATGAAATAAGTGTTCTTCAGAATAGTGGAACTTGGGAGCTCATCTCATTACCATCTGAGAAATTTATTGTTGGTTGTAAGTGAATTTTTGCTATCAAAGGTAGTCTTGATGGTATTATTGATCGTGTCAAAGTTCGCCTTATGGCTAAAGGTTATACACAATTTTTTTTTTACTATGGTGATACTTTTTTTCTAGTGGGAAATGTGGCTTCTGTTCGCTTATTTATAGTCATGATTGCTCTTCAACAATGGTCTTTTAACCAACTGGATGTCAAAAATGCTATTCTTAATGGGGATTTGCAGGAAGAAATTTATGTGGAACAACCTATAGGTTTTGTTACTCAGGGAAAAGTCTTCTAGATTGGTACGTCATCTTCAAAAATTTAACAATGTTATTCAACAATTTAGTATGACTCACAGTGAGGTAAATCATTCAATTTTTAATCGTTACTCGAGTGCAGGGTATATCTATCTAATAGTATATGTTGATGACATTGTTCTTACTGACAGTGACCACCATGGCATCTCACAAGTGAAACAACACCTTTGTCACCATTTTAGATCAAAGATCTTGACAAACTCAGATATTTCTTAGGATTGAGGTAACACAATCCAACAATGGTAATGTTATATCTCAAAGAAAATATGCATTAAATATTTTGGAAGAAACTAAGTTGATGAACTCAAAATAAGTTGACAAACCCATGGATCCCAATAGGGGTGTCAAAGTGAGCCAACCCGGTTCAACCCACTACGGATTGGTGGGTTAGGTGGATTGGCTCACTAACCCACATTTATTGTTTTGTTATTCAATTTTTTTTTTTCTAATGAACATGACTGAATCATGGGACTGAAACGCAATGGCGCGGTGCAATGGCAAATGTTGTGACGCAATTGAAATGCGGCAAACACTATTATGCAATTGAAGCACAATGGCATGGTGGCACGACAAATATAATGGTGCGGCAAACGTTGTGGTGCAATTGAAACACGAGACTGAAATGTTATGGTGCGGTGGCACAACATATGCAATTGAAACGCGAGACTAAAACCCAACAACGTTGTGATGTAACTGAAACGTGGTGGCGTGACAAACGTAAGAAACATGGTGACATAGTGGTGTGGCAGAAGGATGACAAGTAGCTCAGGTGCAACAACAAATGCAGTAGTGCAGCGAACAATTGATGATAAGCTTAAGTAAAGGTTTGACTTGTAGCGACGACATAAAATAGAGGTGGAGAGAAAAGATAACAACAATTAAAGTTACTAAATTATTATAATTGTTTTAAAATTTAAAATGAATGGTGAGTTATTGGTCAACCCACCATAACCCGGCTTGAACCCGCTTCATTTTTAACCCATTATTAGTAAAAATTCGTGGTGAGCCAGGTTGATTCATAGGTTACAACTCATATTGACAACCCTAGATCCCAATAACAAGTTCCTACCTATTCAGGGAGAACCTCTCTCAAATCCTGAGAAATACAAAAGATTAGTTGGAAAGTTGAACTATCTTATGTTACTTGTCCTAACATTTCCTTTGCAATTAGTGTGGTGAGTCAATTTCTTAATTCTCCGTATGCAGATTATTAGAATGCAATCATTTATATACTGAAGTACATTAAAGGATCTCCTAGAAAAGGTTTGTTATATGGTCACAATAACCATACTAAATTATTTGTTATTCTATGGTCACAATAACCATACTAAAATTATTTGTTATTCTGATGTTAATTGGATAGGATCTCTTTCTGATAAAATATTCACTTCCGGATATTATGTCTATATTGGTGATAACTTGATCTATTGGAAAAACAAGAAAAAAATATTGTGGCAAGATCGACTGTAGAAGCATAATATAGAACTATGGTCTCAACCACTTGTGAACTTATTTGGCTTAAACAATTACTTAAAGAATTATAATTTGGAGATGTCACTCAAATGACACTTATATATGACAATCAAATTACTCTTCATATTAATTCTAATCTCATCTTTCATGAAAGGACCAAACACATTGAGATCGATTGTCATTTTATTCTAGAAAAGATTATATATGGAGACATCAAGACTGAGTTTATTAACTTAAAACTAAAGCTTTAACAAAGAGGTAATTAATCCAACAAGTGGTACATGAATCAAGGTCATGATCTCAATTTACAGGGAGGCACAAAACTGCCAAGTTCTCTAAAAGGGAGGCAAGCAGGTGACTGTGGGCAGTAACCTCCACCCAAAATGTTCTATTTCCTAAAGAGGTTAGTTAACTCAATCCTTTCTTCTCTCAACAGTAGTTGAATTAACATTTCCATTTCACAAGAAATTGTATCAATTTCAATAAGATGCCAACATTCAAAAAGAATCCAAACAGCAAAATCACCCACCGCTCCTAAAAAGTCAACAAAACAAAGACAGTTTCACAGTAACAGATCTCCATCAATAGAATTGTTCCCATTAGTGGCACCGTGGAACAACAATCAACCATCATCACTAAAAAGCCTAACAGCAATCATAAACTTGACTTTTCCCGTGCATATATATCATACTTAAGATATCAAGAGGATCATGGCACTTGACTGCGATTCCAATGCATTCCCTTCATGCCTTACACTCATCTCATTCATGCCATATTTTTCATTCAAATGAGTAAATGATTATGCTAGCTTTTGACCCCATACTAAGAGTTATTATGATAAATTAGTGAAGAGGAACAAAAGAGACTAATTAATATCCTTTAACATCTACGGCCTAAAATTATATGCAACTCCAAAAACACCAGCATTGCCCACACCGATAACCAAAAAATCATCATAAAAAAGGATACTGATTATTAAACCTTAGGCCGATCTGGAATTGGATAAAAGGAATGGAAGGGACAATTAGTATTAGATAATGATATTAGATATTGCAGCAATGTCTAAAAAGTGTACATAATAAAATTAAAAAGAAAAAACAGTGGTAGAAAGCCTATTCTATGATTTCCCAATTTCCTCCGTCGCTCATCATAAAGATCCAAACACAGTATCATTTTTATAAATCAAAATTAAAAGACACAGATTTGTCAAAAAGGAAGCAGGAAAAATATAAAAAAGGACCCACAAAGAATCATCTCAAACCCAAAAGAGGAGATAAAAATGAAAGGGAACATAAGAAAGCAAAAGAGCATACACAAGTAAATCCAAAAATTATATATAGTACACTCAGAACCTGAAATAATGAAATCAAACAGTCCTAAAAGAGAAATATTATTTTAAAGTAGACAAATGTTATACCCCGATACTCCATCATATATCATAAGAGTTCCAAACAAGTCTTAAGAATCAATACTCAGGGAGATCAAATACAAACTGAACTCTTCCAAGTACCTATTAGTTTCCGACACTGACAATCCCCACAGAGCCCCAGCAGCCCTCTCTTGGAGTCCAGGGGAGGCATTAGCACAAGCTTGGGCAAGAGCAACCTATATAAACCACAATGTCAATGCCAACACACTAATTTGTTCAGAAAAAGGAAAAAAACAATTGTATTCGTCTCTATAGCCTCTACATATTAACTGTCAAATAAAATTGAAAATGGTTGGGGAGCATTATTTCATAATCTCCAAATATGCTATTGCACAAAAGCATGACTCCAATAGAAATTAACATTTATCACAAATTATTTACAAGAATGCATTTTAAAAATTATAATCATGTACAGAATATCCACATGTATAATACTACAAAGTATCTTAACCTAGGAAATAGTACCAACTTAGTCTCTCTCTCTCTCTCTCTCTCTCTATATATATATATATATATATATATATATATATATATATATATATATATATATATATATATATATATATAGAGAGAGAGAGAGAGAGAGATTAATAGAGAGAAACATAGGGTTGAGAAAAGGATAAAACTGAAAAAGGATTTCTGATAATGATAAATGGATTCACTACGGAAAATGTAAAAGTACATGCACTATAGAGTTCTAAGGATTGACTGCTGAATCAGCAGTCAGTTACATATTTATAGCTGACTGAAACTAAAACTATCATTAACAGTAGAATATTATTCTCTAATATGGATGTTCTGCATATAGGATGTACTGTAGAAGAAAGCAATTCCACTCTATCTCTCAGTCTCTCTCTCCCCCACTCCATTTTAACAATGGTTCATAGTGCATGCTTCTCCCTTATTTTCTGTCTCAGATTTGCAGTTTCTTTTGGAATGTTTCTTATCATCCCTTGTGTCTTTTTATTTCTATTTGATACTACAATTTTCCTATTCTTTAAAAAAAAAAAAAAAATTAACATGGTACAAAACTTACCAAGGCCTGAACACCACCAGATGCAGCTATAGCTTCTCGATTTCTATCATCAAATGACAAATTCCAAAGTGCACCAGCAGCCTCTTGCCTGTGTAAATATCAAAGAGGTAAAGCAAAGTTGGAATGACGAATATGTTTCAAGTTATGACAGGTCAAAGAGAAGAAGCATAGGAAAACCAATTATTCCACAAGCTTAAACTGTTGTGTAAAGGTGTCTAAATGGTTAAGAAAGCATATTTCTACAAGCAACGGCTATTTTAATCAATCATATTGTGGTTCAAGTCATTGTTTGGATGTTTGTACAGAAGTTACAACCTCTAAGGTTAGTATTAGTTTATGCGAGTTTTTTTCACCAGGATTGTTGAGAAATATAATTCCCGCTGTCTATCTTTCCTCTACCCCGCCTAATCCCTAAAATATCAAAAACAAAATAAAAGCAATACACAAGTACAATATAACACACAAAGACTAGTTAAAGATTACCTGACACCGTCGTGGGGAGAATGAGTAAGTTGAACAAGAGCCTCAAGAGCACCTGCTTCTTGTCCAACTGCCGCATTGTTACTGTTACTATCTCCATGAGCAGCTAAGTTAGCCAATGCTCGAGCAGCCTGATGTTTAACAGGAGCTATGTCAATCACCCCAACTAATGCACTTACATCCCTTGATGGAAATTAGAAGATTTGAAAAAAAAAAAATAGAACAGATTCTGAAGAATTAATATTTAACTTAAATTAATGCACACGCATATGTATTAATGTAAACAAGAAGAATTCATAGGAAAATATATAAAGCATCTCTCAGTTAGATCATTATTAGTATCGTCTATATTTGCAAGATCACAACGAAGACATGCATGCCATCCCCCGTGTACTATCACAAAATATTTGACCAGAATAAGACATAATGTACACTACATCTCCATCAAACATAAATGACATATCAAACAATTACCTTTGTCTTGTATTAAGTTGGCTTTTATTTGGTGTTGTTTAAACTTAGTTAGTAGTAATGAACTCCTTGACTTGTTACTTTCGTATTGAGGTTTAGTATTTTGCATGTCTATAGAATTAAAATGTTAAATAATTATATAGGTATTTTAATAACTTTTTTATATGAAGCAAACTCGGAAGAGTTTACTATTCGAATTTATGAGTCAAGTTTATAGACCTCTCACAAGTTTACATAAACTCTCGAATTTGATAACCTTGTTACCAATGGAAGAAGGCAAAAGGCCACAATTCTGCCACACAAACATGCCATTGTGGCCTATGATGCTGCCATTGTGAGTTTCCCTTTACATATTACCTACCTTGATAGGCAAAAAAATTGCCATGACTGGCCTGACTGATATTTAACAATAGCGAAAAAAAATAGAGAATATAACTCCAGAAATTCAATAAAGGAATCCAGAATCAGACTGAAACTCTAGATGCAAGTAAACAACATTGTAATTTGATGGCACCATCAATGTCAAAAGGATTTAGCCATTGCTAAGCCTTCCAGCTTCCAAGTTTAGGACTAGTAAGTAAAAAAAAAAAAAGCAAATAATCCCACTGACAACACAATTTCATAGCCTCGCTCCCCTTTGTAGGAGCAAAAAGCAAATAACAATTATTGTTGGCACCTCAATTATGGTCACTCCTAACCTGGCTTGCAGCCTCAAGCATGGTTTTTAGCCTTGCATCAACTAGAGATATGAATTAAATAGAGCTTATAAAGTTTGAACTATCCTCACCTTACAAACCAGATTTATGAAATTTAATTAAGCCTAATTCTAAGAATTATCAATCATGTACACAATCATAAAAGCATTTTTTAAATAACTATGATGAGTTCCAATATTCAATTGGCAGGTATTATCTACCATATAAAACAGCTTCAAAGATTTTAGTCATTGAATTGCATGGTACCAAAATACTAAAAAGTAGTGCTACCTGCTCTTGCACTCCCTCAAATTTGCAGTTACGTGCAAGCATCACCAGAGCATGTACACCTCCTGCCAGAGCAACCTCTGTACTACACTTGTCATCAGCTGCCAAATTAGCCAATGCACCAGCTGCTCGTTCCTAAAATAAAACCCATCTAATCAACCAACTGCCATATGCATTATTTTAAAACAGCAACTTGGGTTACGGGTACAAGAAGCAATGTAATAAAGGTCACTTAACAAGCTCATAACATAGAATCATAGAAACTTACTAAAACTCCATCTCCACTTGAAGACCACTTGAATATAAGATCCACTAAAGCTTGTATTCCACCAGCTTCAGCTATGGCACCCTATGTTTAAGTTTATACTTTAAACTTTAAGCATTAAATTTCAACAAACGAAAACTAAATAACATACAAAGTCCAAATTCCAACCTTGTGCTCCTCTCCAACAGAGAGATTCCATAATCCTCCAGCAGCCTCTTCAGCCACCAGCTTGTTCATGGACCTAGCCAAACCAGCAAGAATCTCAATCCCACCCTCTTCTGCAACAGCTTTGGCCACATTGGCATTGACAGATAAATTTGCAATGGCCTACACAAATTTTGAATGTTTGGATAAAAAATACACATTGATTATATCACATTGTTCTTAGCTAGGATTTATAGTGCAAGTATGAATCTAGAAAGAGTACCTTAGCTGCCTCAGATTGAAGCCCTTCCCTCCATGATTTTGCCAGGCCAAGTAGGAGGCGTATGCCCCCGTCTCGCATTACTGCTTCAGCCCTACCACAATCTATGCTAGCATTTTCATCATCAATTACAACAAAAGTTGCAAGTCCTGTGGCTGCCCTCTCTTGAACATCCTCTTGAGAACTCTGCATTAGACTAAGCAAAAGCGCTCCACCTTGTTCTACCCAGAAATTATCAAGACCCTGCTGGGGACTCTCAGCAGAACTCAAAAGTGTATGGGATAGCATCCACTCAAGCCAGGGTATAATTTCATTAAGATCCTTATCATTATTCTTTGAGGTCCTCCAGTCCAAAAACATATTCTTTCCTTTCTTTGTATTACCAAAAAATAAAGAAGCCAGTCCTTTAAAAATATCAGTACGAAGGGAAACTAATAACTTGTTTTTATATTTATTGGCAGAAAAGCTAGTGTCTTCTTCAAGGATAGAACAATTTAGAGCAATCAAAACCCTCAAATTCTGTGATAAGGATAACATTCTGAAAACAGCAGATGGACCAATATCGGTTCTTGAAACATCTAACCCGATCAGGTTAGGAAGTTTATGCCAAAGATGGGAAACCACACTCCACTTCATACTTGACGTCCCCGCAACAGAAAGGAAACGAACTGATAACACATTTCCCAGTGCAGCCTCATCAACATTCAGACAGTCAATGAACCCAATATCGAACAACTTTGGACAATGCTTAGCCAAGGCATTAATAGCATCAGCATTTACATCCCTAATACCCGAGAGTCTAAGTTTATTCAAGTTAGGACAGCAATGAGCTATTGCCCTAATAGCATCACTACTTATTCTCTCACAAGAATCGGGTCCAAGCTGAAGGCTCTCAAGTGAATCATGCCGAGCCACAATCACTGAAAGTGTTGCATCAGTAAGCTTCCTGCAATAGTCACCGCTCAATTCACGCAAGTTCTTAGCTCGAAGATGAATTATTGCATCAGCAGACTCCGCCCCCCGAAACCTGAGCTTCTGTAGATGCACACACCTGGGAGCAAGTGATGAAGCCATGCAAGCATCAAATTTGTGGGAACGAAGATCCAGAGAAGTCCACAAACACGGGGAGCTTCCAAGAGACCTCCATGTCTTACAAGTTGACGACAAGCTAGCTCGATCTCGGTAACTCAGACAAGAAAACAGCTGAATTACTGTGTCATCAGGCAAGCAGTTCCAATCAACAACTCCTTGGGGTTCCAAATGCAAAATCTCATCTAGAACTTCAGGGAAACTAGATTGCACCACATTCCCTTTGCTTTTCCTCGCCACCTTCCTCCTCACTCTACGATTCATGTCTCAACAAAATCACACCAAAACCAACACCAAAACCTTCCAACTCCAAACCCCAAATCCTAAAACCACTGCAAGAATTCACCAATACGACATCCTCAGACATACAAATCCAAAAACCATTGAAAAAGATAACACCACCCACCAAAATGTAATCACCCCTCCACCCCAAAAAAACCCTAGTCTTCAACCAAAGTTAACAAATCAAAACAAGAAAACAACCAGACCTGACACCCCACAACATAAAACAACCCGGCCCTAGATGCCAAAAACGGATAAAACCCAGAATTCATATACAGGTAGGAGCACACAAAAATAATAAAATGTTATTATTTTATCAAACCTGTGGACTCAGGGTACGTGGTCTTTGTTGGATACACAAATCAGAGACATTCAATAGAATTTGCAATACATCCACCAAAGAAAAATGAGTAAAGAATGAAGTTTGTTGAATGGGGTGTAGGGAGAAAGATAGATAATTCAGAGGAAAATCCAGAGGATGAGAAGGGTTGTCTTAAATGAAAGGGTCTTAGGAAGGAAAATGAGAAAGAAAAAGAGAAGGATGATTAAGTTAAATAAAAGGGAAATGTGACCGGAGAAGACAGGAGAATTCCAGCATTGGGGCACAAGACAAGAGGAGATGGATGGAATGGGAAGGAAGGAGAACAACAATGCTGTAAAACTACAACTCATAAATCAGCATCTTATATATATATATATATATATATATATATATATATATATATATATATATTAATCATTAATTTCAATTACATTCCTTCTTTTCATTAATAATTCTATCCCTATGTGTTTTTAGAACTTACATCATACACTAAATAAGAACATAAAGATATTAGAACAAGTTTTATTTCTCAAAATCTATCTCATACCATGAATTAGTATCTTCATACATGAATATTAATCTTCTTTTTTTCAAATCCGTTTACTTAAATTATAGTATATCTTTTATCATACTAGTTTTGAAAATATGGGTCTACTAATTTTTGTTAAATAAAAAACTATATGATATAAAATATTATTTAAATTAATTTAATCTTATATAAGAGTACATGAGAAATACACGTGTACATTATATGATTAAAAAAATTATTAACTTTTATTATCTATATATATATATATATATAATCGAATAATTACTATTATTTTTTATATTATTGAATATCATTATATCATAAAAATATGTGTTAAAATATGTTTAGTAGATAAAAATAATAATACAAATATGAAAGTTAGAAGGTATGATATATTAGCTTATTAGTTTACCATCATAATAAACCGTTACATTAATTTTAATAATATAGTCTAGTAGTGTATATAATATTTTTTTATTTTTTTTTATTAAACTTCTCTAACTACATTATGATATCTATTAAATAAATAAATACTTTTAAAAAATATTCATATATTATTTTTATCAATAAACTTCATAATAAATAAGTTGATTATCTTTATTTATAAATTTTGTGAGATTTTTTTACTGCTAAATTTTATCAAATCTAAAAGTAGCATCTTTTATAATATATTTATATTTATTATATTATTGAATTGAGTTTACTAATAAACTCTTATCAAATATAGTTTTAATATAAATATTAAAATAACATAAATCAATATAAATAATATATAACGAGGTAAAATGATTGTCGTGTAATATGTTTACATCCATTAATATATTTAGCATATGTCCACTCATTTTTATTTTTATTTTAAAAAACATTTCAACAAATATTTGAGTTATCAACGATATCATAAGGGTACTTATTTGTTAGAAAAGTTAATCAAGTCTTCTTGTAAAAACTAAGTATTGTTTTTCAAATGTTGGTTGTCTTTTCATATGGATAAGTTAAGTTTGGTTTCTCTGTAGAAGTATTCAGATCAATTTGTTTTTATTATTATTATAAAATTGTTAAAAAAAATTAAAATATTTTTTTTTAAATATTAATATTTTATAATAAAAAATTATCAAATAAAAAATATATTATAAAAAATTATATAATTATAATTATATTCTTAGTTTTAATTTATCTTAATTTTATTACTAAATTACTATCAAACTTTAAATTTAACTTTTAAGAAAGGTAATTATATATGTTTATTACTTAATAGTTATTATATTTAAATAAAATAAATAATTTAGTTATTTTTTAAAATTTGTATTTAAAGTTCAAACAAAATTTTATAATTTAAAAAATATAATAAAATATTAATTTTAATTGTTTTTTATTTTATCTATTTGATTTTGAATATCTAGATTTCATAGTATAAGCTGTCAGAACTTATCCTAAAAACATAGTTGAGTAAAAATAGGGTAAGTAAAAAAACAAACCTAAATTATTATTCATGTTTGATGTAAACTAAATAAATTTTTTAGGTGATTTACACTAGTAGGATACAAATATCATCTCATTATCCTATATAAATGAGAATGGTTATATATAAGCTTATTGATTGTAATATGAAATAATTATTTACATTATATATATTATTTAAAATTTTTATTATAGTTACATGATAATTATTATAGATTACTATATAAAGTTGTTTTAGAGCAAGTTTTTTTTTTTACTTGTATATAATATTTATTAGATAAAGATAAATATGGACTGGATAAGTATAATAATAAGATATTTAGTTTGTTAATCAATTATGAATTCACACAAAATTTGGAAAATATACCCTTTTTTTTACGTGTTAATATAGATTTTGAATATATAGATTTCAGGATATTTTGACCTGCAAAGTAGACTTTGAGCTAACTACACTTTGAACCATTGAAAAATCCTCGTGGTTTTCATATACTCTATAACATTGTGGACTAATCCTACTAACTAATATATGAAAGAGGACTTTGGAAGTAGCATTTGGATACCATGATACAGTCATGAAGGGACTCTATTAGGTAGAAACAAGCCATTTTTATTTGCCATACCATTATGAAGGAGTTTTCCCTTCACATAAAATTTGGAGTTTCATCTCATACTCTAATGCTTCCACACCCTACCGGAAGTAAGGTTCTTTTTCCCCTACCTTTGATATTATACTCACAAAATGTATGCCAGTGAGCTCAAGTTGCTTGCCTTTGACCCACTTGAAACTACCGTTTTTAATAATGTTGTTTACTGAGACGTACTTTTACTACAAATCATTGTTTGAAATTTGATATTAATATGATCTTTGAGTTTTAAACGGCTTTTTGTAAGACTTTTTAACTGTAATTTTACAATTTTATGATATCTATTAATTTATTCTTTCAGAGTAACTATTTGTAGTTTCTTAGCTTGTAAGTAAAAACTCAACCCTATCAATCAATGCTTTCATGCTGCCAAAAGTTACATGCGACACAAGATTCAACTATTCATGCAATCTCACAGAAGGTTGAATAACCATTTTGGTTGGACATGACATCAATCATCAGTTCTGAATGTCTATAAGATATTACATTAACCCTCTTCATTTCACTTTAAATCATTGCAGAACTAGAACTGGTAGCAAAGAAATGTCCTAGTAGACATTGAAATTGAATTGCAGCATCTCTAGCTAAGCTCTAATTGTGGTGCTTTCTATCAGCTAAATAAACAGATATCAGATAGGTAGTATTTCTTGTCACAGACTAGACAACTACTACCATATCAAGCCCCATTTGTTCTTAACACCATTAAATCACTTTACTTCAAAGTCCTGCAGAATAATGTGTGGCCTTCAGAAGCTGAAACAAACAAGTCCTAGTTCGTATGACCTCTAACTAAAATTGTAATAGACATTAGTACCAAGTGAGAATGACATGCAACGTTAGAACTGAATCACAATGAGAATTCCAAAAAAAAGCCTTTCTTTTTAATTACACAAGGTTTACCCACTAAAGCAGTTACATAAACAAATTTCTTCTCAACTCTTGAAACCTCCATCTCAGTAGATAATTTTATGTAGAGGCACTGTAAACATTATAGCACAGAGGAATAACATACTCTTCACAATCCATCCATTTTTATGATCTTTTGTACAGAGTTAAAGACTAGTAGATGGAACGAAATATACTTTCCCCATTTCTTGGAGATAGTACATAACATTTTTTTTACATTGTTCAAAGTATATAACATTGCTTCTGTTTACTAGCCATATGCCACACCTGAGAAATAGAAAAAGTGAAGAGAATAAAAACAAAAGTGACCCCAACCTAAAAGGGGTCAAACATACCACTCATTCTTCTACACCAACTTGTAGTAACAGTTATTCTCTGAGAGGAGAACCTCATAGCCTTTCCCACACGGACACCTAAAACCAAGGCTTACGCACTGTTCAGCCCACTCAACACTAACGGCTTCTTCAGAATCTCCTCCTCCCAAATCATCCTACAAAAATATACAGATGGAACATAAAACATCAAAATTAATCTTAAGAAGCAGTCAAACTATATGTCCAAAAATAGTAACAAGTGATGGCTTTAGAAGAATGAGTGGTACGTTTAAAACAGATATCATTCATAGTAACATGTAATAGAATATAGCCATCTTGTTTCCAACCTATTTTTCTTCCTATCTCTTTTTAACTTTTCTATCATATCTCATCTATCTCTTTTCTTCCTAACCTTTTCCATTTTTTTTTTCTGTCGTTCTCTCTCCTACACCCCATTCACCACAAAATAGAGTGGATGTTTGCAAATTTTCTTCATAAACAGGATAACAACGTAAGACTCTTCACATAATGCACATCCTAATTAAATTCTATATTATATATCTTCTAAGTAGAACTACAGAACCAAGCACATCACAATAACACGAACTTATCGCAGTCGAAGCCATCGAAACACACACACCTGAGGGAGGACTTTGTCATCTTCACCAACTGCACACTCTTCTTCTTTTCCATCATCTTCCTCATCTTTCATAACTTCATCCCACCATTGCTTCATCTCCTTCAATCTCTCCCTCATCCTTTTCAGTTTCTGCGATCACACGCACAAAACAAGCAAACAAAACCATTATTCCAAACCCAAAGAAAAAAAAAAAAACTTTTTATTCCCCTTTAAATTTCCCAACCCTCCATACCAAAGAATCAGGCGCGGCGGTTTCCTCGGAGTTCAGACACGGCGAAGGACCAGTGAGATCCGACACGCTCCTCCTCAGTCCCCGCGGCAGAGGCGGTAGCCCGAAGCCTCTTTCCGGAGGCGTGGGGGGCACAGGCGCGGGGGGGCGGTAGGGGTCGGAGACGCAGCGGCGGAGGACGGGGAAGGAGCGGCGCTTGTTGACGAGGGAGTTAAGGTTGAGGGGAATGGGTATGGTGGAGAAGCCGTAGCGGGAAAGGTCCTCGTGGTCGCAGAAGAGTTTCTTGGCGCAGGGCTCCCCGGAGAAAGAGGAAGATGGCGGCGATCGGCGCTTCATGGCGTTGTTGACGGTGGAGCAGGGCGGCTGACGGTGGCAGCAGGCGTTGTTGAGGTGCATCATGGAGAAGAGATCGGTAGGCTCCGCCGCTGAAGAGTGATCAGTGTGATCGTGAATTGGTTGTGACGGTGTTGGTGTTGAGTTTGTGACAATGGGGTATTTGTGTTTGTGAGGTGTTAGTGTTGGTGATGGTTGTGGAGAAGTTGAAATAATGGGTTCGTTCTGAGTTTGAACGTTTACATCACCCATTTCTTGATCTTTTTCTTTCTTTCTGAGTTGGTGATTGTTTTCTTCTTTTGTTTTGGACTGTGAAAATGGCAGCAACTAAGAAGACGGAACAAGAAGGAGTTGGAGTATATTATGTGGTTAGAATTTTGAATTTAACGGCTATTAACATTTACTATTTATTATTCTTCATTTTTAATATATCATCTCTTTTATTATACTCATTTCTTTTTCTCATTTAATATTTTATGAATTTCATTATTAAATTTTAATTTTATAATTTAAAATTATACATTTATAATATGATATGACCATTGTTAAGTATTTTTAATTAATTTTTAAATTAAATATTTATTATTTATTTTTAAATTATTACAAATTTTACTTCATAGTCTTTAATTTCGTGAGATTTATCATTCAACTTAAAATTTTACGAATTTTAAAACTAATTTTTTAATTGAATTATTTGAATTTCAAAATTATAAATATTTTTTTCAATTAAATAGTATTTACTAAAAATAAGGTGTTAATCAATCCGAAATATTTATACTTAATTTATTGATTTTATCATCAAGTTGTCATTTAATCAACATATTAATTAGATATATTATCAATTACATAATAAATTAACATTCAATTAACAAAAGAGTAAACTCTGTATAATTTTGAAATTTAGATAGTAAAGTTAATTGAATTAAAGTTTGGTGATAAAATTCGAAAAGTTCAATTATAAAATTTATAATTTAAAACGTATATCACATCATAAATATTTTGATAATAAATCATGTATATAATTTTGAAACATGATGTTAAAGTCCATTAAATTGAATTTTTTATAATAAAATTTACAAAAGATAAAAGTTTAATAATAAATTTATGCAATTAAGAACTTATTTTACACAAATTACCCAGCTAGATTTAGACTCGTTCCAACTCCCACACACACACACACACAAAAAGTTCTATGCAATAGAAATTATATTCTATTTTTATGCAATAGAAATTATATTAAAATTATTAATAATGTTTAAATAACAATATTGGAATAGTGAAATTATATAAGAAAGTAATTACGTTAATTTTAAATAAAAAGGAAAAGTCTTATAGAAAACCAATTGAATGATATAGTAATAAAAAGTCAATTTTATCTTACCTTTCTTTGAAAAACAAAAAGTACAAATCATAGGAAGAAATAAATTGACGTAATTTTAAAGTAAAGACTCAATCATATTTTTATTACACAATTTCACTAATTTTATTATCTTTAATTTGTCATGAAAAAGAAAAAACCATGTTATTTTCTAAATTTTATCATGCTACGTTATGAACAGAGTTTGTTGACTGTTTTAAAGTTGTTGATCTAGTTAGAGTAACTAACTTATTTATGAGTGATTTGATAGAATGTTACACCAAATTAGATCAAACGTAAATAATTTATATAATAAATAATATATTACTTATGACAATAATTATATTGAAAAGATATATAATAATAATAATTTAAAAGATATGTTTTATCTAAATTTATATTTATTATTAATATTTAAATATTGTATCATAATTTTGAAAGACTATTATTGTATTCATGGGAACGTAGAATTAGATATATAATTATATTTATAAGAATTAGAAAAAAACTTGAATATATTAATAAAAAAAGTTATGTAATTATATACTGTAATTGGACTGAAATAAGGTCAGATTCAAAGGGGTCCTTGACAAAAAAATACATAGTTCATTTTATTTTATTATTTTGTTATGGTAATTCTGTTTATAGTATTTAAATGAACTTCTATCATCAGTCTTTCTTCTCTATATGCAAATTTTGCGTCCACTCTCTCTCAGGCAATTCAAAGTCTCTATGAATCCCAAACATTTTTTCTCGTTTCTTCCAATTTGACATATTTTAGCGCTAATTCTTTGTTCGTCGCCATGAGAATTGCTTCTCGTTTTTCTTCTTCTTCTTCTTCTTCGTCTTCCTCCAGTTGGTCGCGTTTCTGGTCGTCGGCGCTCCGATCCAAGCGCCTTGCGACGGCGGCGGAGAAGGCCTCCCGTGACAGCTCCGAACTCGGCCTCTCCCGCCGCCTCGGCGTCATCGACCTCGTACTCCTCGGAATCGGCGCCTCCATCGGCGCCGGCATCTTCGTCGTCACCGGCACCGTCGCCCGCGACGCAGGACCCGGTACAACTTTTTAATTTTTTATTTAATTAAAGGGTCTTTTTTACTTTTTGAGTAGATAAATTAACGTCTTAAGTTACTTTAGTTCAACGAATTATGAATTGAGGGCAAAAACGACCTTATCAAATTAATAATAGTTACTTTAATCACTGAAATACTGAAAAAGTTTTATTACTTGTAACGTTTATGTTTTATTTAATTTTGGACAAAACTTGGATATAATTCTCTAACTAAAATTAAAGTTTCACGCAATAGGCTAGTACTTTGTGTGGGAAATAACATAAACTACCGAAATAAATCTCGAAATGCAAGCATTGATGAAGTAATTGTATCTAAGTTTTCAGTTTTGTTCTTTTATTTGCTGGATTTGTTGGACTTGGAGGTGTTAGTACTTGGGTAATGGCAGTTGGAGAGTATTGAACTTCATGTACGAAGCTCCTTATATGATATGGACATGAATGTTGAACACACGAGGATGCCACAAATTTTAAATATTACCAGATAGGGCACATCATATAAATTTAATATCAGATTAAGAAGAGGTAGAAATCTTGTATTTTGAAATGGAATAGAGATGCTACTGATTCAAATGTTTGAATTAGCTATGGCTGGCGTGTAAAATACTGTGATTTAATTAGAATGTGCGGATATAATCTGATAGTTTAAAGGATTTTTTCACTATTATTCAATCATAATAACTATTAGCATGTATTGTGAGATTGTTGGTTTTTGCAATAATTACTTTAAAAATCATCTATGGTGATTTCTATTTGGCTGGTAGTGTGATAACCCTTACAAATATATGAAAATTGAAGTCAAATAATGTGAATCTGCTATGATGCTTGATATTCAATGGTTATTTTCCAGTTACTATTATTCCAAACTTAGTGGCTTATTAAGGTTTATTTCTATGATCCAGGAGTAACAATAAGTTTTATGCTTGCGGGAGCGTCCTGTGTTATAAATGCACTCTGTTATGCTGAACTAGCTTCTCGATTTCCCGCTGTTGTTGGAGGAGCTTATCTATATACATACACAGCTTTTAATGAACTTACGGCTTTTCTTGTTTTTGGACAATTAATGCTTGACTATCACATTGGAGCAGCTAGTATAGCAAGAAGCCTAGCTAATTATCTAATAAATATTCTAGAACTCTTCCCTGTTTTCAAAGACAACATTCCAAACTGGATTGGGCATGGTGAAAACATTGGAGATGTGTTATCCATCAATATCCTGGCTCCTATTCTGCTAATGCTTCTCACTTTGATTCTATGCCAAGGAGTTCATGAATCGTCAGTTGTGAATTGTATTATGACCGTGACCAAGGTTCCTTTCCATCTTAAAAGTTTCTGAAATATAGATTAAGCATTGTATTAATTATGGTTTATCTGATACAGAATCACAAGTTGTTTTACTGTTGTTGCAGGTAATCATTGTTATCATTGTCATTTTTGCTGGAGCATTCGAGGTTGATGTTTCCAACTGGTCTCCATTTGCTCCAAATGGTTTAAAAGCTATATTTACCGGGGCTACAGTAGTGTTCTTTGCATATGTTGGATTTGATGCTGTTGCCAATTCTGCCGAAGAATCTAAGAGGCCCCAGGTATGTCATTTTGAGATTGCTCCCATGGTTTATGAATTTTTTCACATTCTATATCTCTTATCTGATTTATCTATTGACTATGATAATTATATTGGATGTAAAATAGTGGCTGTTTGGATTTATATATTGTTCGTTGCCATAGTCTGTTTGATATGACCACAGTAAATTCCTTGGATTCGAGATCAGTGATTCCTCCAAAAAGACAACAAATAACTTGATAATTCTCTTTTCTCCTTTGTTCATTACTATTCATGGTTTGTATAGTGGATGAATTACTTCATTAGTGAGAAAATATAATAAGAGAATGTCTAGCTGTCAATATAACAAAATGCTAAACACTATAACAATAACAGAATGTCTAAGTGGAATGATAACAGAAGGCAAAACAAAATTCCTCCAATCCTGCCTTCCTCTGTTGGCCTCATCTGAATTGATCTCCTCATAAGTCATTTCCTTTCCTATCAGTATTGTCGGTGCTTTGCCATTAATTATGTTGGGAGAAAATGATGACTGTTTATTTTAGTAGTTAGTATATTGTCCTGCATAAAAATCGTCATAAACATTTACAGGAGAAGAAAATAAGAAGGTAAGATGAATTAGTTACTATTAGTTTTTGCACATTATTTTTGGAGAAATTAGTAGAGAAAACTTCTATAAAAGTTGAAATACACAAGTTGATTTTAACTTATTGAAATAGTTTCATTCATTCTTCTTTTTTTTTTTCTTATAAGCATTTGTGAAGAAGCTTACCAAATCAGAGATTTAGTTATTAATTAACTTCAGGTTATCTTGTACATCTGTTTGGCTGAGTAATAGATTATCTCACAATAATGTCTACTTAGGCTAGTTTATATTCACATTTTCACTTCTATGTTTTTCTCCTCTTTCTATTCTTAGAAATTTGTTCACCATGTTTTTTATTTTTATCTTTTCTGTTTATGACAATTCAGCGGGATTTGCCTATTGGCATAATAGGAAGCCTCTTAGTATGTGTTGTATTGTACATTGGAGTATGCCTGGTGATTACTGGAATGGTTCCGTACAATCTTCTAGGAGAAGATGCTCCTTTGGCCGAAGCTTTTACGTCTAAGGGATTAAAATTTGTTTCTGTTCTGATTAGCATTGGTGCTGTTGCCGGACTTACAACAACACTCCTTGTTGGTCTCTATGTTCAGGTAATCTCCTTCTGAAATTATGACCCGAATGATGTGCCTTGTGACATGTGCTAATGTACATAATGGGATGTTTCCGATGAGCAGTCCCGGCTATACCTTGGGCTTGGCAGGGATGGGATGCTACCCTCAATATTTGCGAGGGTTCACTCCAAACGCCACACCCCTATTCATTCTCAGGTCTGGGTTGGCTTCGTTGCCATTGTTTTGTCTGGGCTGTTGAATGTGCATGTGCTCTCTCACATTCTTTCCGTTGGTACACTGGTAAGAGTTGACTTCTAATCTGTTAGTGGTAACAAAATGCATATATCTAGCTTAGTATGTGTGCGTTCTTTGATTTGCATGAAATATGTGCAGACTTAAGAAAGGTGGGAGATTTCTTACTCAGTGGGTGTTGGATACATTAATCTAATCTTACTATGTTTTAGTATGTGTTCAGAGATAGTGTGCATCATATTTTCCGTTCAGGAAATAATACGGCATGATTTGTCTTGATAAAAAGTATTCTTTATGATTGATTAGTGGTTGAAAATTCTTAGTTAATGTCCCTCATTTGATATATTAACTTATTTCAGACTGGATATTCGGTTGTCTCAGCATGCGTCGTTGTACTTCGCTGGAAGGATAAGACAGGTACTCAAGTGTCATCTTCTGCTGAGCGGGAAGGTGTAATTTGCCTCATTGCCGTTGCTCTTTGTGGATTTGCTACTGGGCTCTTGTACCGTTATGATGCTTCCTTTATTTTTATGATACTGACCATAGTTATCGCATCTGGTGCTTCTGCTGCTCTTGTTTTCCGCCAGGTGAGGGTTATTTTTTTTTTTTTTAAGCATTGTTTAGATAAGTTTCTCTATAAAGAATAACATAAGTTAAAAAGATTGAAGTTTTTTATCAGTCAAACTAAACTTTTGAGGAAGATAAAATCGGAAAACTTTTATAAATTAGTTTATGCTAGCTAATTTTAACTTACAGGTTCGCTTTATCTTTTTATTTTCTTCTCATAAGTACTTATTGAGAAATTTATCTAAATATTCAATTGCATGTTGTCTGGGCTATGGCAAAGTGCTTTGGTTACAAAATATGTTTATATAATATATAGTTATATTCTATGGATTGAAGGTTGTTGTATCATGAACATGTACAAATTGCCAATTTGGTTATTGAACAAGGTATAAATACTAATCAAAGTCACTGAGAGTTTTAATCGAGTCTCGTCATTAGTGGAGATGGAGAGAGTAATCTGAACTTGTTTGTTGCCTTCTTTTCCTGGATCATACCACCAAATGAAGAACACATTGATGGTTGTATGTGTCAAATACACCAAACGGAAAGGCAATCTGAAGGTCAACAACTCTACTTCCCGGACTTCATCACAGACCACGTTGAAATTTGTAAAATTGATGAGCTGGCTGCATTTTGATGTTAATTTCTTTCGCTAATTCCATTCTGCTGTCATTTTGCTTTATAGGTTTACGCAGATGCCCCAGGGTTTTCCTGCCCAGGGGTTCCCCTTCTTCCAAATATTTGCATATTTTTCAACATGTTCTTATTTGCCCAGGTATGCCCATTATCTCTCCTTTTTTTAAAATATGACCCAAATAATACAGTCTTTGAAAAGCTTACATCTGATTTGCACATAAAAACCGACAAATAATAATGAGCTTCGGTTGACAGTTACATCAAGAAGCGTGGGTGAGATTTGTGATTCTTTCTATTATCATGGTTGGTGTTTATGCAATATATGGCCAGTATCATGCGAACCCCAGTGCAGAAGACCACATCTATATTGAGGCACCTTTAGAAGAAGCTCGATGAGTTATCTGTTCAATAAATGTCTTTCTATTTTTTTCGCCTACCAGGGTCTAGTTAAAATGTATGTAGTAAATCAGCTACTGTACCTCTCTTAGGAATGTGCATTTTGTATGAGTAACTATCTCTTATAGAACAAGAAAAAATTCACATGGATCTTATCTTGTGTTAATTTCAAGTTTATACTCACGAGGCGTCAAAACTCAGCCTATATTATTTTTCTTTTTAGTATTTAAAAATTCTCAGACTATCTTACACATGCATGATGCATGTTGATTTTTGTCCTCTGTCGTTCTTCTTTCAAGATTACCAAAATTTATAATAATATTTAGAATGTTACAAAAAAAATATAATGGAATACTTTGTGGATAAAGGTTATTTTGAAACTCTAGTTCTGTAATCAAAATATCATATTTCCTGAATATCTAGTTTGTAGAGCATGCAAAATAATTATGGAAGTAGTAGTGTATTATCAAACATTTTGATACACGTATTCTATAATCAAAATATTATATTTTTATGTAAAATGTTGTACTTTTGAATGTCTATTTGTAATATATTAAAAAATATTCAGCATATGTGATTTTTAAAACAAATAATATAGTATTTTAAGAGTTACACCTAAATAATTACTCAGGAGAGTATAGTTTGACTAAAAGGAAGTGAAGGAAATATTTTTAAAATTAATTTTTAAATTAGAGTTATTAATCTGGATTTTTTTAAATTTATTTTTAAAAATATTTCTTCAAAAATTTATTTTTAAAAATATTTCTTCAAAAATTTATTTTTATTTTTTTCAAAAAATAAAATCAAAACTAATTAAAAAAATGTCCTTTTGTTTAATATGTTCAGGCTACCATCTTTCGGGTCACCTCCTTGAAAAATATGATAATAAATTTATTTTGTTTTATTTTTCTTTGTGGCAGGGCTATTTTGAGCTGAAATCTTCGCTGTCTCTTTTTTAGTTTTTTTACTATAAACTATTAAAAATCAAATCATAATTAACAAATTAAAATAAATTAGCTAACGGTTAACTGTTATTTTGATCCATTTTTAAGTAATATGCTTCAGAATAAAAATTGTTAACAACACTCAATTAAACAAGTAATGGGACTAGAAACCAGTTAATTATTTTTAAATAACTGGATTTTAATTAAATCAAAAAAATCAACTAAATTTTAGTAAAAAAAATTAGAATCAAATTTTTTTATTATAATTTCTTTTATATAAAATATAATATATTTTAATTTTTTTATATCTTATATTAATAATATCTATTTTAAATAATAATTATTTTATTATATTTTTATCATATTTTAATAATTATTAATATTTTAATTTCTAAAATATTTTTTATTTATAATTTATATTATAATTTAAGATAATTAAGCTTTTTTATTTTTATAAAAAATATTATTATTAATAAATGTATTATATTATAAAAATATTATTTTATTAAATTGTTTTAACCCATTAAATCTTTAAATCCTAAACTTTATATCTTGTTAAATTGTTGAATATTGGTATAGGCACTTTACTAAGATTGTATCTCTTGTTTGCTATATTTATTTATTTATTTTTGCAACACCAATACCATATTATCTTGTGCCTACTTTTGGACATGTTCAGCCCTATCATTTTGCTCCTTTTCAAAAAGAAGTTCCTTTACAAAATGTATTTGCAATAATTTAGTTTAATATTTTTTTTTTGTACTAAAGCTATTTTCAGTTGTCAGTTGAAGGTAACGTGTAAAATTAATCATTTTCTAGCTGTTTTTTTTTTTCTATATACAATTAGAAATAAAATCTTAATAATATTATAGAATAAAGAATTTAATCATCTATATGATAGAATAAAGATTGTTGTTACCGCAGAAAATTTATTGACTGAAAATTGTATTAATCTATTTCATTAAACCATTTTTTATATTTTTAGGTTTATTAAAATTTAAAAATCATTTCATGAACTATTTAAGAAGAAATTTAGGTTTATAAAATTTTGTCAAGCAGTTATTATAATATTCAGCAATAATATTTTATATAAAAGAATATTTATATTAAAATATTTTTAATTTTATAATTTATGATTAAAAGCTTATTAATAAAACTTGATAAAAAAAAATGGGACCTATAACTTAAACAAATTCCAAGATCAATTTTACATTATTTTGTTTCATAATTAAATATCAATAAAATGATACATAACAAGGTATTTTAGTTGCTATGATGTTAGTATTTTAACAATTGGTATTTAATAGGATTCATAGGATTAATTAGCACATGACCTACACATTAGGAGACTAGGCTGCATTATTCCTTTTTATAAATAACTATTGGCGAATCTTGGCTTTTCCACCTAAGCAACAACACAATATGCTAATCTTGTAAGTGCCTATTTGGTATAAATGGAAAAGAGGGGTCTTCAACCTTTGCCTTATCTTGCTCTTTATTCCATGATGACAGATAAACCTCATTCAAGTCACATGCTTATTTGTTTTATCCATCAATTTAAAACTGCTTGTAAATACTAATGGATTCCAGAGGTTAACTCTCAAATATCAGAGCATTTGCATCTCCTACTGAATCTAATCTACTGTTAATATTGCTGCTGAAATTTTTACTTCATCTAAGCCATTCATACTATCGTTTTCATCTCCATCTTCCTTCTACAATGAAAACACAAATCTATATCCATGCTGAGTAAATATTCCAAACGGTAAAAAAATGGGTTTTAAGCCCCTCAATCTGTTGCCAAAATTAATCTAGTTCATATCCTTTAGAAACAACTATTTTCATATTTGTATTTAAAATAACTGTGAATTCAATCCCTCACCCTATTGTCCTAAGTTCCATAAAGAGAGATGAAAATCACCAATTGTAAATACGCAACCAAAAGCATTGTTTTTAAAATATAGGATCCAAGATAAATTTTGACCAGAATTAAGGGGCATTTTATCCTATTCTAAACTACAACATTATTTTTATTAGTCTTCAAGCAAAGAGACTAAACTAAAATATATTGAGATATCTCTACTAAATCTTAAGAGGTTAAGTGAATGCATAAGATTGACTAGCTCTAACACAGTCACTCACATAAGACCATCTCTACATTTGCAGATAATGTATTGAGACAATGATATCATGTCAAAGATCAACTCTCCTAAAGCATAAGCTGCTAAGCAATAACAAGAGATTGGGTTTACCTCTAGCAAGATTATAAGGAAATCATTAGTTTAACAGAGGGACAATTACAAGATCAAAACCAGTTAGATGAAGTGATTGCTCTAAAGAAACAATGTTATGCGCAGACTACCTGAGTAACTAACACAAAAATTTAAAAGGTGAAGCTTAACATGAGAAAGATAAACTGGCACCAGAAGCAATATCCATAGATATTTTGTTGTATGTGAAAATAAATAAGTGGAAGACCTGCCGCCACAAAATAACAGAATTTCAACTTCATTAGTTATACAAAAACATAAGAAGAAAAATGAAATTCCTAAAATGAAGAAAAACTCAATGATGCATAATAGTATAAGATCTCTGATGAACTCCAAGTTCATCGGGTTAGAAACAATTGGATCACAGTAGTTTACAAATCACCTAATCTGGTAATCTGGTTTCCAATGGTCTTTTGCTCTTTTGCTCTATCAATAGATCCCATTTTCTGAAGCCTGATTTGGGCTTTGAACTTGGCTATAAATTCACTAGCTTTCTTATCCACCTCAGAATCCAGATCTGAATCATTGACACATTCAGGTACCCCAGTTTCATCTGAGCTCGGCCGGGTATTCTCCAGCTCGATATCTGAGTCTGGCTTAGACAAATTCTTGGTTCGTTCTATCTTATCTCTCCTGAGATGATTGGAAAATTTAACATCAGGCTTAGGACAATAAAAATCCAGAGTTTTCTTACTGACTCCTTTCAAAGGAAGATCTGGTTCTCCACTTTTCAATTTTTCTTTTTTCAATACTGACTCGACATTGTTAACATTCTTTTCAACCTTTTCATCAGTTTGCTTGCTAGAGGTTTCTCCTATTCTCATGCTACTTGAAGTCAGTCCGCTGGTTCTTCTTGTTCTAACTGATTTTCCCCTTGATGGAGCCTTTGCTAAGCTTGCAGGCTTTTCTGAATCAGATTGCAAAACATGCATCCGCAACTCTTTATTGCTAGGGGGAACCTCACCTCCAATCTCACTTAAACCCTTCAAGTCATCATTCAAACTGCTCGTTATGTCATCCGGGAGTGGGAGTGAGGAACCCTTCATTCTAGACGAAGGTGATGGTGAACTAGAAGAAGATCCATGTGAGCTCTTCTTCTCCCCAAAATCTTCCTTCACCAAGTTCATATTCTCTGATGAAACAGAATCCAGGGAGGAACATAAACTTGACTGTGATGAGAAGGATCCCATAGACTGGAAAGACCGTGAGGGGAGCAATTCAAATTGAGTTTCATCAACTAACATTGCCCTTAAATGTGAAGGACGGGATTCAGAAGTATATTTTCCTTTAGATTCCACCATGCCATTTCTAGAAGACACCTGGAAACTCTTCTTTCCCAAATCCACCTCTTGGAAATTCATATTTTCTGCAGCAGGCACGTAGGAAGTCTGCTTTTGTTCAATATCTTCCTCGTGTAAATTCACATTTTCTGAAGCACGCAAAAAGGAAGTCTCCTTTTCCATGTCTTCCTCCTCAAAATTCATATTTTGTGAAGTATGAATATGGGAAGTCTTCTGCCCCATATCTTCCTCTTGGATGTTCATGTCTGATGACATTGAATCCAATGAAGAATAGATTCTTGTGTGGGAAGAGAAGGGTCCCACAGACTGCATTGATTTTGAACCAAGTGAGTCAAATTGAGTTTCATCAACAGACATTGGCCTGAAATGTGAAGGAAAAGACGCAGCACCATATTTTGCTTTAATTCCCTTCCTTCTATTTCTTGATGAAGACCCCTGGAAAATCTTCTTTCCCAAATCTATCTCCTGAAAACTCGTATTGTCAGAAGTAGAATCATAGGAACCCTTCTTTGTTCCCATATCTTCATCTAGGAAATTCATAATTTCTGAAACAGACACAAACGAAGTTTTCATTTGCCCTACATCTTCCTGGTGAAAATTCATTTTTTCTGGGGCAGATACATAGGAAGCTTCCAATGGCCTCATTTCTTCCTCTTGAAAGTTCATATTATCCGATGAATTCGAAGCCATGCTAGAATACATATTGGTATGGGAAGAGAAAGATGTTGACTGTAAAGATCTAGAACCGAGGGCTTCAAATTTAGTTTCATCAACCGAAAGAGGCCTAAAATGTGGAGGACGGGTAACGTTGCCGTGTATCTTCTCTCTATCCGTCCTTCTATTCCTTGAACGCCATGGAATTGGTGAAGCTGATCCACCACCACCAGCAGCATCATTAAATTGTGTCTCCAAATTGGAAGGTCCCAAATCCCCAAATTCCTTATCTCCGCTATTACTCGAGGCCCTGGAAAACCCACTTGAACCTGAACTGGAGTCACTTTCATTGGCATGTTTAGGACTATCCACATCTCTGGCAACCGATCTCAAACTGCGAATCGGTAAACCTAGAGGTTTGTAATCAACAACCTCACCACATTCACCCATATTGTAGTTTGGTTGAGCCACAACCACCACTGGCTCACTATGATAGTAATCAGAATTCCAAGCTTGAACCACATTGGTTCCATTCCCATCACATCCAACAGAAGAATAACAAAAACTATCTTCAGAAATTGGCAAACGGGATGTGTACTGTTCATCAAAAACACCAACAGTACTACCCCCATTGGAGCATACAACCCCTGCCCCCCCATCAAAGTACTGAGGATTCCAACAATGCATCATCATCTTCATCCTCTTCTCATCAACCTCACATGGATTTTCATTATCATTTTCATTTTCACACCCATCATCAAAAATAGTGGAAACAGGAAACACTTTGGACACATAACTAGGTGTGGTGGCATTATCATGAGCACTAGAGGGAGTAGTTTCTATTTCTAGGTGTGTGTCAAGTTCTGAATTTCTTCTACTAAACAAGCCATAGGACACAGCAATGCCAATGAAAAGAAGGTGGAGAAGCTCCCAGAACTTGTTGAGTATGGTTTGGCTCACAAAGTCAGGGGCTTGAGAGGGAAAAAGTGGGAGAACAATGATAAACAGTGTCAATAAGAGAGCTTTGAGGATGAAACCTGAGCAGGACTTACCTTGGTTGGTGGGTTTTGGTTGGATCCGTGAAACTGGGAAATGGGGTTTGGTGTAAGGGGTTGAATCCGCCATTGATGAGAGAGTGGAGTGAGTGTCCCTGTGTTCTGTGGTGTGAATCCTTTTGTTTGTTTGTTGGGTGTGCTAGATGTGGAAGGAAGAAAGGAAGACTTTGATGACAAGGAAAAGTGCATCTGGGACAAACAAGTAAGATAAAAAAAGATTAAGGTAATTGTAATTGCCCAACACAGTGGGGCACAATTCAAAAGGTGTCACTCCCTATCATGACCGTTTGCTTTGAATGACATTGCTACCCTTCTCTTCGATTGTTTTGCCTATTATTTGAGGTTTATAAAAGGTTGGGCCCTCCCAAGCCCAACATGCAGCCCAAATACATCCTTCATAAATGAATGTGTAGAACTTTGACAGGTGAGAAAATATAGAATACTATCAAAGTGGGAGCTCATTTCAATTGCATGCTCTTTAATATTCTCAAAATCAAACTGTTATTGATGTGATCAAAATACTAAGTTATATGGATTAATAATCAGATTTTGATTTAATTCTTTATCATAGTATTAATATATAAAATAATAAATAAAAAGTGAACAACACAATATAAAAAAAGTAGAAATATAAAGATTTCATAACTATACTCATTCATACATAGATAGTAATATCAAGCTTGATGAGTGTTTTCTCATTACTACACATAAATGTTTATTAAATGTACTAAAATGACTAGTTAATTGGTTGCAATCCTTGGAAGGACGTCTCAACTAGATGCTCGAACCAAACATAAAGGGGATAAAAAATGAATTAGTGTGTTTTAATCCAAGTTGTGGAGAGAGCAAAGGGTTTTAGATGAGTTAAACTTCTTATGTTTAAACTTTGTGTTTCAATTTGAGGAGACACTTGCTTCTGATATTTACTTTATTTGATGCAGTACTAGTTCAGTTGAGAATGAACTGCCAGGAATCGAAATTCATTGCCAGCTAGTCTTATTCTCTCATAAATAAACCAGCTAGTAAAGTACAATCTTTAATAACTCTGTGAGCAAAGATAGAGGAAGTAGCATAAGCATTCGTAAAATTTGATGATAAATAATAAGACGTACGTAGGGGCTATTCAACGCATTCAAATCAAAGTCATGAATTCCACTGCACAGAGAGTCACAATAATTGATAACTAGGTCAAGGACTGTGGCAACACTGATTTTGAGGTGACGAGTTGATGGGAATACACATGTTGAGGAGAGTAATATCTTACCGAACAGACATGACAGGCGGCCACTGTGGCAAACGAAATGATAATGGAATGCACATCCAAAACCTCACCACCTTAGGCCTTGGAACTCACGGATCAAACAACCATGTCAAATCTAAATGCTTCACCACTGTGGATGGTTGACGTGTAAATTGTCAATCATGGGTTCGGCTTGGGGAAGCCAACATTTGTTGCCTCTCTCTCTCTCTCTCTCTCCCTTTATTTTGGTTTGATTGATATATACATTATATGCAATTTTAGGTTTATAGAGACGGATCAAAACTTTGTTGTTGCACCTTCAAGTCTCTACTCACTTGCGTTGCATTGAGGTTCTTGAAATGTTTAATGTGCACTTAAAAAAAAAAAAAAAAAAGCGTATAGTAATTTTTTATATATTTTTAATTGGATTAATTATTTTTGTATAATTATTAAAGTTATTTTAAATAATTTAAATTTATTAAATTTAATTTAGAAATAGTGAAAATAAAAATGAATACATTGAAAATAATAAGAAGATACAGTATGGAATGAGAATGATTGAGGGGTTGAAAGACAAATTGTTTTTCTATTTTTTTTTCAGTGTAATAATGACTAAGACATAAAAGGTTAATAAAATTTCTTAGAAAAACATGCAAAGAAAATCATTTTCAAATAAACAAAATATAAGTTTGTGTATTTTTATGCATATTTTTAAGTACATCTTTTTCATTTCTTATATAATCAAATAAGAAAAAAAAAACTATTAAAGAATCCAAAAAATATCTCTCTTTTTTTTTTCTCAATACTTTCCTCTCTCTTTCTTCATTTTTTTGTTTGTTTCTTGATCCAAACAAAGTACACAGCAACATCTTTGATCCTTTTAATAGTTCACCAATATAGCTAGCTACAGGGAACTCTTGACCTTTAGTATCAGCAATGCATCTACTCTGCAAAAAAACAAACCTAACCGAACTCCTCATGTAACCAATGATCCAAAAAATGCAGTCTTGGCACAATTTATTTTCTACTGTTTTTTTTATGATCCCTTTTTAAACTTTAAACTTTCGAAATCACGTGATTTTACCATTGATATCAGTGCCTACACAATACTTGTTTGCATTTCGTTAAAAATATGTGGGTTTGATTTTAATTTCTCATTTAGAAAAGGCAAATGAAATTATTTTCTAATAGGTAAAATAGTTATTCCTTCATGGAATGTGAAGGGGAAAATTTTATATTTTATTTACATTTGTAGTGCTATGATATACGAGCAAAGGCAGCCAAAAATCTCTAAGTGAGAAATCACAATCATTCCTTCACGTTTAACCCACCACCACCCTACTTTTTCCCTAGGAAGTGGCATCCCAATTTGATGAGAACTTCATAGCCACATATTCGGGTTCTCTTTATCTTCTTTTTAAAGTCTAAACTAATAAATGCTTGTACTATTTGGCATATGAAATCTAAACCCCCCACTCAAACCATACCCAACTGTTAAATATATCTACCCTACATAAATCTTTAAGTTGACTAAAACGAACTCGTACCATACACAAAATAGAACATGAAGAGTTAAAACCAAGTCCAAAAAAAACACAACTAGTCTTTCATTTGCAAAATGGTTCTTTTTCTTCGCTTTCCACATGTCTAGTAACTAAAAATGTCTAGACACCAATGCAAATATCATATGCCGCCGACCAATTATGGCCGAGGAATTGAGCCGTCAAACGGCCAGGTGCTGACCGGTGCCACCGGCCGCCGGATGCTTGCGCCAAACAGTTTGCGGGTACTCGGGGTCGCTGCCGCTGACTGGACGGTGGCAGGGGAGGAGGACGAAGAGGAGTGACCACGCTCACAAGAAGGGCACATTGTAAGTGTGGTGGGAGGGTTCATGTGCATGTACATTTGTGGGGATAATTTCAAAGCCCTAAGCTCTTGGACCTCCTTATGCAACCTTCTATTCTCTTCAGTTAAATTCTCACAACATCTCTTTAAGTATTCACAATCCACTTCAGTTTGCTTCAACTTAGTTCTGTATCAATTGATCATTAGGTTTGTAGTGTTCTCTTCCTTAAAACAATGATATACACCAAACTTACAAGAACATGAATAGCACAAAAGTACATTAATTTGGCACAACTCGTGAAAATAAAAAAAAATAAAGGAATAAATACAAAATCCAAATATCAAACATGTATTTTCAAATTCATGACTGTGTTGCCCTTTGTATTTATTATACATGTGTTTGATATTTGACATCCCATATTTTTATTTTCCCTCTCATAATTATTTTTTAGTTTTGATTTATGTCAACATAATTGTGTCGTTGATCATTGTCAAAGGAGGGTAGTCAAACCCATTATTTGTTTTGACGTTATGCCAAAGTTTCTTTGAATGCATTTAACAGTTAGATTAATAATTAACATCGACAACATATTATCTATATTTGTCTCTTCAATGAAAAAAAAAATAATAATAGTTATAACTAAGCTAACAAAAAAATAACTAATAATTTTTTTTAGTTTTTCTTTTAAACGTGTAAATTAGAAAAAACGCGTGGGCCACGTTCTTTATACAAAAGTTGAAAAAAAAAACCATTCTGAAGTAGTTATTGAAAATAGCATCTTTATGATCACATTATACTTTTGATATTTTATAACGCACTTCAGTTAGGCTTCAACTTATCAGAAACACGTGGCAACACTATGATCGATATATGAAAACCTAGAAAAAATAAATAATAAAAAGGCAATATAATTAAAACCAACAAAATAATTAAATTTAATATTATTTATTATTTGTAATTCTCTCACCTTGCTCTTCTGTTCTGAAACCACACCTCTACTTGTCTAGGCTTCAGATTCAACTCCTCTGCCAAAGCTTGCTTTCGTTTCTAAAATTCAAAATAAAATAATAACAATTATTCTAATAATAATAAATTCCATTTACTAATAAATTGATTAACTTTTGTTACAAATTCAAATAATTATTAATATTGGGAAAATAAATTCAAATAACTCAACAAGCATAGAATTCTAAAAATACCCTCTAACAAAAGGAATTTACACAAATATCACTAACTAACCGGATTGAGTGTATTATGCTCCTTGAAAGTTTCTTCCAAAACCATGGACTGCTCTTTCGTCAGTCTCAATTTCTTCCTCCCACCGTCGCCATCTCCGACGCCACCATCATCCTCGTCGCTCCCCCTTGAGCACGAAGTCCTCTCTCCTGTCACCAAGGCAGCATTATCGTCGTCCCTCTCGCTACGTTTGCCACCGCTCACGCTTGACACGGCACTGTTCGGCGAGGAAACGCCGTTCTCTTCCTCGCACTCCGCTGTCGAGTTCACGTCGATTCCTCGTGTCGCATCGGAGTTCCGATCTGTACATGCAAGAGTTTCAGAAATGTTTATTCAGAATGGCAGTTTTGTAATTAAAGGACATGGCCCAGGGTATTTCTGCAAAAAAACATAGTATCTGTAATCGAAAATATCAGAATAAAATAGAAATTATTAACAGTGCATGAATGTTCCATTTTTTTAATTGTATTCTCCTTATAAATATGCTAAATTTGTGTAGAATTTTATTTTATCAACGTATTAAATGCTTTGTAATACAACTGATTAAATATTTATTATGTTGCAATAATCTCAGTCAAAGATACAAAAAAACATTAAAGTTACCGTCAAAATCACAGTTGCAAAACGTTTCTACAGACCTTGTAAAAGAGAATCTGGATCTGAATTAGTTTTTCTTTTTTTAATGCATGAGTTATAAGCAACCAGGTTTCAACTTTGAAAAGTTAGAAGAAGATGTGTGTAAAAAGATAAACTAAGAAACAAAATTGTTGGTGAATGAAATTTATTTTTGGGTGAAAAAGCACCATACAATACAAATAATTTGGGAATCTAGAAACAAAATATGAAGAAAACATTGAAATAAGAAGAAGAACCTCGTACCAGGTAACTGAAACAAGTCAGCAAAGAGAGTTTTGTTGTGATTTATGGGAACAGGTTGAGGTTGCTGTTGTTGAGGCTGGTGCATGTGATTCACCTTCAAAGGTTGTTGTTTCACTCCCAGACTCAAACTCAAACACAACCCAGCCTCATCATCTTTCTTTTCAGTCATTTCTCTTTTGAGGAGAAAAAATGAAACACCAATGTGTGTGTCTGTTTGGCCACTTGAAAGAAAAAAGAAAAAAAAGAAAAAAAAAAAAAGGGTATGATTTGGGGAAAGCAAAATGGGGGTGGTGTTTGGTGGCAGTGTGTAACAGGCTTTGGCTTTTCTTTTGCCCAGGAAAAGTGATGGATGGAACTAAAAATATATATAGAGAGAGGGCAAAACAGTGAATGGATGGTACAGAGTTAATTATGACCTGGGTCAGAGTGACAAATTGGCTCAATCATGACTTAAATGGCTATCCTAGGCATTTTAATACTATTACCTCTGTGCATACATGTTTTTGGATTCTTCAACTTTAAGTCCGGTTACTTTTTAACCATGATTACTTTTAACCTACCTGGATTGTGGATAGTTAGTGTTGAGACCTAGATTAAGATTAGTATTACTATAGTAATAGTAACTGATTATGCCAGAGCTTAATTAGCTTTAACTGCTTCTGTTGATGAAAACTGCTACTTTTTCGCTAAGAATGTTGACCAGAAAGAGCAAGTGCATTTGTTTCACGTGATGTGCTTGGAATCATCATCATCATCGCCTCATCATCGTGGAGATGATGAGTGTCTATTTTATTATAATAAATAAATGTAATATTATTATTAAAATAAAGTGTTGAAATGGAGTTAAATTTATTATTTTATTTTTTATTATTATGCCATCAAAATTTGGATATATTGTAATCTAAGGTGACGAGTGTTGTGGCACGATGTGATGATGGGTCTTATGGCGGATTTTGTGAGATGTGTGGGACCCCATTGACATGGATTTTCAATGGCATGGTAGCCCCAAATCACGAGGCATAACAGTAGCAGGAGGGAAAGGTTTGAATCCCACCCTCGGCGCGTGAATTTCATGCTCTGCTGTAACTGACTTTGTTCAAGGGGCATAAGGATAATTTCACTTCTCTCTGCCTTGAAGTTCCAATGTTATCAAATAAAATTTGGTTGACTCTGAACAAATTTAACGTCAATCCTTTACATTTCCTATGAAACAAAAAAATTAGTAACACTTTTGTTTCTATAAAAGTTAATAACTAAAAATAACAGCACTGCTTTAAATAGAAATACTCTTATTCTTTATTTTATAACTCTAATAATTAAAAATAAACAGTACTACTTTATTTAATTAACAATGTTCTTGTTCTTTAGTTTTAACCGTTCAATATATTTTAAAAAAATTATTTACCCTTTTAATTGTAGTATTATTTTCACCTATTTTTAATTCATCAAATAAATAAAAATTATTATTACTTTTTTTTAAATAGTTCAAAATTAATCTAAAACAATTTTGTTTGTAGTATATTAAATATATTGTATTGTTAAATACTCGTTACATATAACATATAAATGTATAATTATAAAATTAATTATTTGTTAAAATAATATTTTGTGAAAAAATATTGATTTTTATAATAAAAATATAAATATATTATATTAAAAAAATAATTAAATGATTATTAATTATAGAATTCATAAATATATTTATTGGTTGAATTATGTATTTTATGCAATATTTAAAACATCATATAATTATCATTAATTAATTTTTTATAATTTAATCAATTATGGTTAATAATGATAACAAAGTAACATAAATTATGTCATAAAATAAAACAACACAAATAATATTTATATCAATTCAAATATATTTACATATAATAAAATATTACTCATCTAATGATTAAAAGTGTATCACTTTGGATACGTATACTTTAACAAATACCTCAAACAAGATGAATTAAAATATAATTATAAATTTATGAAACAAAAAACAAATAAAACCGTTAAATTAAAAAATAACAACAAAACACGTTATTCAGAAAATAAAAATATGTGATAGTATATTTCTACACTATAATCATATTAGCTATACAAAATATCTATCGATTTTATAAATATTTAGAAAAAATATGATAAAATTATATGATTTTATATATATTTATTGACTACATTTTTTTTTCACCCTATACAGAAAATTATTATTATTTTTAGTTCACTCCAAAACTCTATATATACAAAATTAAAAGTAATACATATTTTAGAATTCATATAAATATTAACACTCACGAACTATAATTATGATTGTATCTAAAATTGAAACCATTAATGCTTCATGATTTATTTCAATATCATTACCAAAAAATAAAGAAGTTATGATTCATCTATAACATCTTTTTCAATGTTGTTGAAAATAAAAACATGTTCACCCCTTTACCATAATATCGGTCAATTGACGTTCTTCCCTATTCAATGTTGTTTGTAAGTTAAAATTATGACAAAATAACTTCCACTTTTTTCCAAATAAAGCTTTTCTTAGGGATGAATCTAATTCAAGTTAATATATCAGTACAAGTCAAAATTTCAACAAAGGCGTTAAATTTGCCATCATTAATGTAGAAAAGTTGCATTACCTATGTATATGACTAATAAAGGAAAACACCGTTTTGATTGTTTGATCAAAGTCAATTGAAATTATATTTCATAAATGGGATAGTTGATAACAACAGTTAACATCGAAATGATTAATTGTTTATAAAACATGAATCACAGTTATAGAAAAAAATGATAATAATTTCTATATTAAGCAATCCACTTTACCAGATTTATGATTTTTTTTATAAAATAACAATTTACTTTATTAAAAATATGTATGTTTAAATAATATTTTGAATTTTTCTATTAATTAAAATTCATTTATATATAAATGATTTATATTAAAAGTCATTTTATTATCTTTTAAATCATTATTTTAATTTAACCATTAAATTATACTATTTTCTGATAAATGACAGATTCCGTGTAAGGATTAAATTTGTAAATTTAAGACAAAAATAGTTTAATTAGATAAAGAATAAATATTTTATTAGTTAAGTTAAGGAGATTATAAATGATAAAACTTAATTATATCATCTTTATTTTATAAAAATCATTATTTCTCTAAATTATCAAAATTTTAACTTTTTTTATAAATATATAAGATATTTTTTTTGTGGTTTCTATCTAATTCCACTTTTATGAATCTAATAGAGATTAAATAATTTTTTATTAATCAAAATTTTGAAAAACATAAGTATTTCTCTCTCTCTGCATACATAAGTGTTACACGTGATGTTTTTTTAAGAAAATACGAGTTTTTATTAGTTTAATTCTTAATATATGACTATTTTGTTAATTAGTTTCTTTACGAGTAGATTTAAGCTTTGCACGAGATTCTACAATTTTTTTAGTCATAGCTGGATTACCATACTATTTTAAATTAGAGAAACTAATTTATTATAATCTCATAATAGTATTCTTGATGTGACTTCATCATAAACATTGAAATTGACCAAGGTTTATGTGTTTACTAGATGATGAGTTAAAGTGTGAATGTTTGATATTGTAATTATAAAAGTTTAAAGACCTTGTGATTTATGATTTAGGGTATGATGATAATTATTGAATATATATGTACATGAAGAAAGATGAGTTGAAAAGTGTTGTTTGAAAAAAAAGAGTTGTTTTATGTGAATTGTATCTTGATTGGAATATGTGATGGTGTTTATTGCAAATGTTCATTAATATAAGATATTCAGTATTTACCAGTAGTTCATAATCACTTATATTAAGATATCACAAAGTGAATAATTAGTTAATGGAAGTGATAATATAAATAAAAAGATTAGTGTGTCACAATGAGGTGACTAGAGATAGTACTGAATGTTAGGTAACTTAAAAGTGTGAAACGTTAGCATTGATGTCTAAACTAAATAATGATTTTTTTAAAAACATATAATTACTTTATGTGATGATGTAATAGTAAGTATCAATATATTAAATATATTTAAAATAATTAAATTGATAATGGGTTGATACAATAGTTTTCATAAGATATTAATTTATCTTATATGTTTTTTTCGAGTTATTTGAATTATAATAATTATGTTTTTACATTATTATGATAATGTAGATATTAAGAGACTACATTGATAATAATGTAATTTATGATAATATAAATACTTATTTCTTATGAAAAGGAGATCATTTCAGATATTTTTTAAATTAATTGTAAAAAGTAACTATTGGAGTATTACAATCATAAAATATTCAGTTGCAGAACTTTTATATACAATTTTGTGATTATATTTAAAATTGTGGGTGAATTATAATTAAGCATTGTTACCATATTACGGAATTAAAAAATAGTATAAAATTTATGGGGAAATTTATTTAAATAAAATTTTATCTGGCAATTAAGGAGTTTACAGGCTGATTAAGACATGGTCTAGTTTTTATGGACATACTTCTAAATTTAATTTTCTTCTTCTAAAATAAAATATATGTTTACTTTAATAAATAAAACCGTCAGAAAATAAAAAATAATACTTAAAAAATCATGACCATATTTTTTTGAAAAAAATGTAAAAAATGTTGTAGCTCGTGTATGTAGTTATCAAAAAGGTAAAAATGATGGAAATAAATAGTTAGTTTGGTTTGTGGAGAGAGTGGTGGAAAATGAGAAAGTGTGGAGGAAGAAATAAATGATTGGAAGATAAGAAAGAAGAAGAAGAAAATGTGAGGAAGTTGGTTGAAATTGAAAAGAAAAGGGATTGAGACTTGGAAAAGAAAAGATGGATGAAAGATTTGGTGGGTGAGAGTTGAAGAAATTGGAGTGTGAGGGCCCAGAACAGAAGCAGGGGGGAACACTCCTTAAAGTTCATGCAAACTCCCCATCATTGATGGCCCTTTCATCATACATCCATGATGTGATTGCAAACTAAATTCAACTCCTTAAATAATATCCATTCCCATATTTTCACACCAAAAATTAAAGGATGAAAATGATGTAAGCGGAATATTCTCCTCTTGTATCTATGCTCTGTGCTCTTAGGTCGTGTCCATTTGGTAGAGGCACATGGTTCCTAAATAATTTCTATTCATCTCACCTTTCTATATTTCGATACCAATCTCCTTATATTCTTCAATACTCAAAAGTGTGGCATAATTTAAAAGTCAAACGTAGCAACACTTTATATATATTTAGAATTTTGAGACATTTTGTTGTGATTAGATAATTTTAGAAGCATTTGTTGGGGGGTAATTAAAAATGAAGTGGGTGAGAGTAAAAAGGAAGGGAGAGGAGTGAGTGGTGTGGAAAGAGGGGGCATCCACAAAAGGGTGGGGTGGGGGACAGAGGAAGGGGAGTCACGTGGGGAACACATCGAAGTTCACGTGCAGGAGCATGTCATGTTCTGCCACGTGGTCCCATCATTGCCCCCGTGCGTCTCACTTTGTGTCTTCCTAACCAGACACGCAATCTCCCAATAATCATTGGATCCTCTCCCCTCTCTCCATTTCACGCTACTTCCTGCCGCGTCCCCTTCACTCTCTTCTTTTTTTCTTATTTCATCTCCTCTTTATTCAAATTTTTATTGTGTTGAAATAGTATATTAAATAATAAAGCTCACAACAGCTTTTATATCACTTTTATCTAAAATCGATTCCACCATTTTCCTATAATATTAATTTTATTTTCTACATTACAAGAGACAGAATAGTTAATTTAAATTGTTAGAATTAGACACATGTTTTATTATGCAGCTACAAACTTCGTCACGGCTGCACAAGGTTCCCTAGTGATTTTTTTAGTGTGAACCAATAAATTTTATTGTATTCAAGTGTAGGATTTTTTTTATTAATTAGGAATATGTATAAAATATAACTTATCATTTAGGATCTCCTTATAATTAATCAACTAAATTTTAGATTAATCTTTAAATAATTAATATTATAAAATATTTTTAAAATAATAATAATTTATTTTATATAATAATATCTATCACATTCTCACTATTAAAATAAAAAATTGACAAATAAATTGACAAATATTTAGACGAGTATGAAAATTTTCAAAATGTATGCTTAGAAGGAATTTAGTTAAAATATCAACAATTTGATAATGGAATGAAATATGAAGGATATGAATTTCGTTATGAATAATTTTTTTACGTACAAAGTATATATCTATCTTAATGTGTTTTGTATATTGATATTGTGCTTGATTATTCAATAGTTAAATAACACTCAATATTATATAATTTTACCTGATAGATAAATGACACTTATATTATCACAGTATATTAATGTAATTTTTTTAATTGAACAATGAAGCTCTAGAAGAAGGTTTAGAATCCAACCATATTTAGAAATAACATTAGCTACTCCGCTATATTCAGCCTTAGCATAAGAACGAGATAATGTAAGTTATCGTTTGAACGATCAAGGAATCAAGTTATCACCAAAGAAAACACAATCCCCAGATGTAAACCATCTAGTATCCGAACATCTACCCTAATCTGCATTTGTGTAAGAGAGGAGGTTTCCAATATTAGATTTGTACAAATGCAATCCAAAATCAATAGTACCCTAAATGTAACGTCACTTTAGAGCATGCATGTGTTCTTCCTTGGGATCATGCATATAAATACATACTTGTTGTACCGTATAAGAAATGTAAGGGAGATGTTGCAATACTCTAACAAGACTTATATATTTAGTAGGATCCTCGTAAGGAATGTCATTATTAACACCAAGTTTGGGCTTTGTGTTAAATGGTGTGAGACAAGTTTTGCAATTAGTCATCCCTGTTTTTTTAAAAAAAAAATTGCATATTTTTGTGTGAGAGAAACATATTGGTTGCATTATGGGTAACTACAATCCCAAAAAAATAGCTGGGTGGACCAAAATTCTTCATAACGAACTCTGCACTCAAGAATGACATAATGAACTTTTTAAAAGAATTAGAGGAAACCACAAGGATAATATCATCAACATACAACATAATGTATGCAATATCATACTCCTTATGATATATAAATAAAGAGTGATCGGATTTACTATGTTTGAAACCAATTGTGGTCATATAATCCGCAGACCATTGGTACCAAGCATGAGGGACTTGTTTTAGGCTATAACGTGATTTTTTTAACAAGCAAACATAATCAGGATAAGAAGAATCCTTAAAACTCATGTGTTGATGAATATAAACGATTCATTTAGATTACCATGTAAACATGCAATTTTAACGTCCAATTGATGAATGTGTCACGATTTGGACAAAACAATGGTTAAAACTATTTGAATGGTTGTTGGTTTCACCATCGGGTTAAATGTTTCATCACAATCTATTCATTTCTTTTGTGACATTTCATCACTTACAAGACGAGTTTTATACATCTCAAAAGAACCGTTAGAGTTGCGTGTATGTTTAAAAATTTACATAGACTGAATTATATTTATATCAAGGGGATGAGATACCAACTTCCATGTCTTGTTTTGAATTAGAGCATTATATTCATTAGTCATTACATTTTTCCAATTTGGATCATGAAGAGCACTCACCGGATTCTTAGGTAAAGGAGAAATAGAGATGGTGATTAAAATACTCAAATTATGGTTATATTTTGGGTTTGGTTTAATTATGTCATGTTAACTACGGGTGATCATGTGGTGAGATCTAAGATTGGTTATTGTGGGCTGACGAGTTGAGATTTGAGAAGAGGGAGTAGTAATTGGTGAGGTTGAGAGCTGATTGGTGTGAGGGGATAAGGCCGATTGAGGAGAGGGTGAGACTGGTTGAAAGCTTCGATCTGTATGTCTAAAAGGAAGTGTAGGTTGTGTTATTTGATTTTGTGGTACATAAGTTCATAGGTGATGGATTAAGTGTGGAGAGATGTCTTCACTTAAGGGATCATATTCTCTTAGAGATGGATCATGTATTTTTGAAAAAGGAAATTCTGTCTCATAAAAAATTACATAACGTGAAATAATTATTTTTCTGTTTGAAAGGTCATAACACTTGTAACCTCGATGGTTTGATGGGTAGCCTAGAAAAACATACAGGGTGGACCTGACTTGCAACTTATTGATTGTAATGTTTGGAAATAGGGGGTAGCAAACACAACCAAAGACACAAAGATGAGAAAATATTGGATTTATATGATAAAGGATTTGCATCAGGGAACGATATTCTAGAACTTTAGTGGGAAGAATGTTTAATAGATAAGTGGTCATTTGAAGAACATGTTCCCAAAAAGAAAATGACATGAATGAGTGTGCTAATAAGGTGCAAATAATGTTGTTAATAACTTTAATATGTTGTTCAACTTTACCATTTTGAGGAGAGGAATGATGACAAGATAACCTAAATTACATTCTACTTTGTTAACAAAATTTTTTAAACGAATCATTAACAAATTTCTTTTCATTATCACATTGCAAATTTTTAATGTTTCTTTCAAATTGAGTTTTAATTAGATTTTAGAAAGATTGAAGAATGAAATAAATTTGTGACTTTCTAGAAATGGAAACAATCCACAAAAATTTGCTAAAATCATCAGGAAAGAATACATAATATCGATGGCCAGAAGAGCTAGATATGAGTGATGTCCAAACATCATTGTAAATAATATCATAAGGAAATTTAGTAAAAGAACAAAAGACATTAAATGGTAATTGAATTCACATGTTTACCAATAGGACAAGAAATCCAAAAATCATAATTGTCTTTTTACAATTTATGAAATTTTGACGATGAAGAGAGTTTAGAATAGTAGCTCCAGGATGACTTAAACTATTGTATCACAAAGTGGAAGACAAAATTGTTGTAGATGTTGAAGGGACTGTTGGTGGGGAGATTGTCTGATAGTTAGGATAAATAGGATAGAGATCTCCAAAGTTGTTACACCTTATTAGATGATTCTTCGTGTGCAAATCCTTCACCAAAAATCCAAAAGGATCATATTCAACATAAACCACATTATTAGTAATAAATTTACGAACAAATATGAGGTTTTTGATGAGTTTTGGTGCACATAATACATTGTTTAGGTTTAAAAGAGGGTGGGGTGGGGATAATATACTACTTCTATGACCACAAATAGGAGTCAAATGACCATTACCAATAACAATATTATGATCTTTGCTCGAATCAAAATAAGATGAGAGTGTGTCCATATACCAGTTTTCATTTGATTGAAAGATTACAAAAGTATGCATGACTGCATTAATGTGCGTAGTTGTGTGTACCCAACATTAGATGATGCTACTAATGTGTTGTAAGCTTGTTGTGATGGTCGCGGTCCAAGAACACCAACTTGCCGTGGAAGTTTAGGTTGCCACAAGGCTACAATCTAAGGCCATAGAGGTTGACCCATCTAGTCCAAAGATTAAGGAAGGGATGTTGATATGGTGAGAAGACTTGATACTGCCAGTATTGCGATAATTGTTGTGGTGTACCATTTTTTTGAACACTTATACCCCACCACTGCCATGTTGCTTCTATTATCGCGGGTGTTGTTGTCTCTGCCTTAGTTGATTTTCTTGTTGTGATTGGTATTATGACGACCCTGAAATGATTAGTATTACTGTAATATTGTTGCGACTGTGAATTAAGGCCTTCATCCATGATTAAAAATGCATAAGAACTAGATTCACAAGTTACTCTCTCCTTAATCGTGGTCTCTTCTAACTTCAACTGAGATCATAATTATAGCAAAACTTGACAAATCATCTTTTTGTTGCATAACTATGACAAAATCAACATATGTTTCGGTTAAGTCAACGAGCAAACAAAGCACTAGATGTTGATATGAAACAGGAGCCCTAACATTGAGTAATTGGTTAATAAGATATTTGAGTCGGTTGCAATATGCGAAGGTTGTGAAGAAATCTGCCATGTTCGTTTTCGTGAACTAAGTTTCAAGATATACTGTCCTAGTGATTTTGTTATCTTGAAATAAGTCAGCTATATGTTGTCAAACTTTAGCAACCAAATCATCAATCACAATGATCGATGTAAAAATACCAGGAGATACAGTAGCATAAATCCATTGAAGAACAATAATATCAAGGTGATTCCATTGAAGGAGATTAGCGACCTTGACTATTTAGTATGCTATTATGACATCAGTCTCCATGAGAGGAATGATATGTTCAAGTACGGAATGAACTTTAGCTTAATTCTTAAATAAGATTGTTCATGAGTGATATTGACTGGTTTCTATGTCCAAAATGATTGGAATGAAATGTTTCATGTTGGTGACAATTATGATAGAATGACATTTAGAATTATTAGTCATGGATGGACAATTATAAAATATAGAGGGAAAAAATGCTTCAAAGAAGATAAACAATGACGACTAAGTTTTTCAGAAAGGGAGAAAGATAACCTAACCTGATACTATATAAGAAATCATTTGTGATTTGTTTAGAAATATATACAAAATACAAACTATAATTTAAGTTGTTATTATAACTGACAAACTAAATTTTATACTAATTTTTAGATAATTAATACTACAAAATATTCTCAAAATAATAATAATTTATTTTAGATAATAATATCTATCTAGAAGCACATAAAACAGTCAACTTGTAACAATATGACTTAGATACGATATTTTAGCTTGTAACAAAATAATATGACTTAGATACGATATTTTAAGTGTTGATGATGAATTAAAGTTTTTATTCATTACTCTGGATAAGACAAAATTAATTAAAAGTAGTATAGTATTGAGATGAAACTTTAATCCTTTTGAACAACACAAAGGACAACACAAAACTTAACAAAATTCACCAATAGCACACACAGCAGAGTTTATGATCAATAAATCTCATGGTAATCTTTGTTTTTATTGGAGTCGAATCTTAGCAGAAAAGAAGCATATTGGCTTCAGATTAAAAGAAAAAATAATACTTACAGCACCAAAATTTTTCTATTTCACCATACTCTTGAATGCAAGAAGGAACTATGCTCCAGTGAGGGCCTTGACCTCTGTTTTTTTCTTTAAAATATTATATACATAAGTATATATATATATATATATATATATATATATATATATATATATATGTGTTATTTTTCTAAAGATGACATACTTTTTTGTTTTTTAAAATAAAATATTTAAGTTTCATCTATTTTTTAAAATAGTTTTTTTTTAAATAATATGACTGTTATTCTTAAAATTTATGAATAATTGTATTTCTATCTATGATTTTTTTTTCAATCACAACGACAACAAACACCTTCCATTTTTTTTTCTTTAAAAAACATGACTAATTTCTGATAAATTTTTAGTTTCACATCTAAGCCAAAGTAAAACAAAATTGTTTCATATGTTAAATTATAAAAATAGAGAAAAAAATCAATGAATTTTATTTCTTTATCTAGTGATTTCTTTTTGTTTTCTAGTATCACCTAAGTTTAAAAGTTGACTCTTTTTAAATTTTTTTTTTTAAATTAATACTAACATATGTTAAAATTTAGATTATTATTATTAGAATGTAACTTAATATATTATATTATAATATGATAATTTCTAAATATATTTTAAATTTTATTTTTTGAGATGTTATTCTATCGTTATAATAAAATGTTTCATTTCAATAATGAATACTCACGTATACTCAAAGTATAATAATATACGGTAAATTGTTAACACATGTTTATATATACCTTTTAATCCTTAGTACCTACCTTTATTTAATATAATTTTTTTAAATTAATTTATAAATATACACTAAAATAAATTAATTATTTTTAAAAGCATTATACGTTTAATCTCTTTGTAATCTATGAAGTGAATAAATTGTTTGTGGCATTTGTTGCAAAATGTACGGGATTTTCTTTTCAATATATTGTTTTCATTTTTTTTAATTATTAATTATCAATTTTTTTATAATTTTTATTTTTTATATTTACTAATTTTATAACTGATTTAATTTAATGTATATTTACAAAAGTAAGTAGGAATTTTATTTTTACTCTAAACTTGGTTTTATAATATAACATAAAATAAGATTATAAAGATATAATGCGGTTTGTGTACTAATTAGTATATATATATATATATATATATATATATATATATATTTATTTGAGGTAAGATTTTCTTTTTCAGTTATTAATTATGGATAATTTATATATTTTTTAATATTTACTACTTAATTTAATTTAATATATATGTAGAAGAATAACCCATTGGATATGTAATTTGGTTTCTGTTTGCTAAACCCTATATACCCTCACCACCACATCACAAGTGACAAACTGAAAGTCAGAGCCGCAACTTCACCTCATCGACGTGTTTTTGGTTGGCGGTCACCAATCGCATTCTTCAGTAGGTATGTAAGATGATTTTGGATTTTTAATTCACTCTCAATTGATTTTGCTGAATTTTACTATCAATTTCTCAACAAACCCTAACACAGTTCATATTCTTGTTTGTTCGTTTTACTTGTTGTGACAGTCCGCGCTGCTTCTCCGCCCCCAATCACCAATCTCCGCGGTCTCCATCTTCGCACCAGCAAAACCTCTCGCCCTGAGCCAATCCGGGCCCAACCGCGGAGCCCTGGCCGTGACTCGCGCCCCCTAGCCACCGCGAGTCAACCTGAAGGTTGGTCCTTAGAAAGGGTCGCAGGCCTAAGTGAGGTTTCTCCCTTTCTCTTTTGATTTCTTGTTTACAATTTGCAATTTGAGTTTGGTTTGTTTGGTTGGGGAGTCAGTTCGAGTCTAGGAGAGTCTATTCTTTTTGATGTAATGGCTGTATAGTATTGTGGTTTAGTGTTAATTTAGGTGCATGATCAAGGCTTCTCATGATAAACTACCTTTTTTATTCTTCATTGGCACCTGTGATTGTAGTTAATTAATTACAACTTTTTAATACATATATAATGTGATATTTTTCTTTTTTAAATAAATTCAGGTGTGAAAATGGGGTTATCTGCCAAAAAATCTAGAAAAAGAGAAGAAAGTGAGAGTGATTCAGATGATTATAATAATATGGAGTATGAAGAGGTATGCATTGCTGCAAATTTACTTTTTAGTTTGTTGTGTAAATTTAGTGATTTTTTATGAATGTTGATTTAGGGGTTGTTTCCCTAATGTAGGTGGAAGATGATTATGATAACGATGGTGAGGAGGAGGATTTTGATAATGATGGTGAAGAGGGGGAGGATGGAGAGAAGGTAACAGACGATGAAGATGATGAGATAGGAGAGCATAGTGAATGGAATGATGAGATGGAACAGCTTGAGAAAGAATATAGAGATCTTAATCATCAGGAGCTGTGAGATTCCATTTATCATTTGATATGCTTTTAGTTTATAAATAGATGGAACGTTAATCTTTATTGCTATATTCAACATTTTGGAATTATGTCACTAATAAATTCCAGTGAATTCGTTCTGGGTTTACTGTATAGTCTGCTAGTGCTATTTGTAAAATGAGCATAAGTTTAATTTTTTGTGTTAAAAATCAAATATATTTTGTTCTATCAAATATAATTTAGAGACACTAAAATACACTGCAAGTTTTAATCTTCTTTTTTGCTACTAGTTCTAGGTTACCTAATGATTCATACCTGGAATAATGGATCTTGATAAAATTACTTTTTGCAAATTTAAATAACTGTAAATAAGTCAGGTATTAGGCAAGATTCCTGGCATAATGTTAAAGATTTTTTTGAAATGGATTTTCTCAATTATGAGAGACATGCAGTTAAATTTGATAATTACTTCCTTCTATGAAGATTTGAGTTACAGCGAACCTGTTTTATTATTTCCCTTAATCTTTAAGAACGTGCGGATTCTGATCTCAAATTTAACTTTCTACCTTCAGAGATACTTTGACGAATCTGAAGCATCATAAGAATGAAGATCTTCTTAAGGGTCAAGCTGTGAAAAGCCAGAAGGTATACTTTTATTGTTTGACTTGTACCTGGCTTTTTTTTTTTTTTTTTTTTTTGTAAATATGGTATAGGCTTTTGTGTTCAGTTATTTTTTCACCACTAATTTAATTTTCTTTTTCTCCATTTACTTTTCATTATATTAAGTGAAGAATGTTTATCAGTTTTTAATTGTTTCATAGATGTTGTAAAGTATTAATTTTGTATCTCCTGATAGTTTGTAGTAATTAGTAACTAACCAAACAAAAATTTGTTTGATCTTAAGGCCCTCTGGTACAAAATTCTTGAGCTTAGGTTCTTACTTCAGAAGCCATTCTCAAGTTCAAATAGGTTACCACAGGTATTTTGCTACCTCAGTTCTAATACGATTTACTATTTTATCCTACCTGAATCCCGTGGTTAAACATGACAAAATTAAATTGTAGGAATCAATCAAGTCTTCGTTATGTGAAGCAGATGAGGCAGTTAAAGTAGCATACTCAGATCTTATCACTTCGTCCAAAGAGACTTTAGATTCTATGTTGGAACTGCAAGAGGTGTGACTTTTGGCTAGAAATTTAAATTGAAAAGAATGAGATTTTCTAATGTCTGTTTCATATCTATGTTTTAATGGACAAGGTTTGTTTGTGTTGGATGTTTCCTTTCTATATATTTCACTGACTGCCATCATATGAAGATTTGAAGCTTTATATTTGTATATATGTAAAACAATATATTATATATCTGACCACTGATTTCATAGTCACTGATTTTTTTCTTGTTCCAGGCTATATCTGCTAAGAATCCATCAATTACCCAAGGCACAGTTGGTAACTGGTTCCTCTATTGTTCTTATTTCCCTTCTAGTTTCTTCTATGGTTTATCTGTCGTGTTATCTTTTTGTGCTTGATTGATACCTTGTTTACGTTGATGCTTGTTGGCATGTCTTTGGAGTTGCTATCGAGAGTTACCTATCTATATATTTCTTTACAGATATAGGAAGGGAAATTTTCCATTTCTTGTATTTTTTTCCTTTCTCAGCCCTGATATTTTGTTTTACTATGGATGAAAGCATATAGAGAAACATCTAACTAAACAGGAGGAGTCCACCACTTACTTTTTTCTCATTTCAAGAAATAGTTGAATTTAAATATATTGCAATTTTAAATCAGTTTCATTCAGTTCCTTTTTTAGGTTAATAGTTTCTAACTTGAACAATTAAACATATTGTCACCCTATCAGTAATCAAATAAAATTGGGTTTCATCTTTATGTTCATTCTTGTACCTCTTCCATTATATGTTATATAGATCACTTGAAAAGCATTGATTTATGTTTTTAATGTTTATATCCGAATATACCTTTCATTTTTTTTTTGCATATTTGCTTAAACCTTGAATTTTTTTTTTTTAAGTAACAAACCTGTTCACCCTCTTCTTGAAGGTGAAGAAGGCTTATCAAAAGATTTAGATGACAATCTTGATCAAGAATGGTCACAAATTTCACATATGCACGAGAGGTATTTTTATAATCTTCTTAATGCAGTAGTATTCTGCTACACATTTCTTTTCTTTATCAAGGTGCAACATTGAGGCTTCTAGGTTTTTGTTTTTTGAGCCTTTTCTTTACCTCAATTATGCTTGAAACTTCTTATTATTCAATTTTTGCACTTCATCTACATTTCTATCTTAAATGCATCTGTGATGTGATCCTTTATGCGTTTAATGCAATTCATTATTGTGTCTTGCAGTATAGCATCTTTCAGAGACAAGTCAATCAACAAATGGCAGCGAATGACACAAGTAACAACTGGTGCTGCTGCCATTAAGGGAAAATTGCATGCTTTTAATCAGGTCAGACTCTTTAAATGGTCTTGGGATTATTCTTTTATATGATAGATGGGTATTTACTCCTAATTTTATTACCCCATCATAGGATATAAGCAATCAAGTCTCTGCTTATATGAGAGATCCCAGTAGAATGATTAAGCAGATGCAGTTGAGAAGATCAGCTGTGAATGTTTTTGGATCTGTAAGTCGTTCTCTTAATCTTTGGTTGGTTTAAATTGTGTTATTCCATTTTAGGCTAGGGATAACGAGCATGTTAAGTTAAAAAGTTGATTTTTTTACCTTATTGTTGACTGCCACATGTCTCCAGGTTCCAGAGGTCGACGATAAACTTAAAGGAGCGGTAAGGCTTGTAAAGTACTAACATCTGTGTTATGTTTATAGTAACTTATGATTTATGTGAGATGTTCAAAATTCAATATCTTTTTGAGGTTATAGCTTGCTGCTTAGCTGTAGATCTTGAAGTGTCCCCTTTTCAACATTTTTGTGGTTTGTGGTCAATGCCAGTGGGAAATATGTTGTCATCTAGAAATTAGACTACTACATAAAGACTTTCTTTGAGGATACATACCAAATTGAGAAATTAGAATTAACAACTACTTTGAAGTTACTTCACATTCTAAATTTTGAATCCACCGATCATTATATCTCTCCAATTAACATTTCCCTTCTGGTATATCTCTATCTTTCTCTCTTTATTTCTACCATGGTTCATCCATTTCAAATCATGTGAGATTCTGTGTTTAATTTCTGTTGCAGTTCACATTGGAATAGATGACAATTTATTTTCCAGACTTCATTATGCATATTTTCTTAAGCAAAGTATGGTAGTAAATTTGCTAATTTCTGTGTTAAGATCTTGAGTTATGATCTTGAGTGAGTGCTGCAATCTTGATTTCACTCAATCGGAATTTGGTGAGATCATAGCCGTGCAGGATTGTGGGATAGTGCGTGATTGATACAACCTTCAAGGAAAATGCAGAAATGTATAGATAGTCTATCTGAGTGAGGTAAGATTGAGAGAGATAATAGGATTTTAAAATAAAAAGAGAGAAGAATAAAATCCCTCTTTATTCTATTTCTTTTTCATTTCATGCTTTGAATATCCACCGATACATCATATAAAGGCACAACCTATAACTGAATAACAGAATTTGTTAGCTGCTTGGTTCCCTATTATCCTCATCTCGTCTGTTGTATGTATGTGCATGTGCCTGTGTATTTAAATTTTGCAGGATCTTGCACTTTGTGATGTACAATTTTAACTTCCCTTCCTGGATACTGGCTTGCTCTGCAGGAGACACGTACTGATGGTGATCCTGAACTTCTGGATGACTCTGAATTTTATCAGCAATTATTGAAAGAATTTTTTGAGACAGTTGATCCTTCATCATCTGGTAAGCACTTTCTTTTTGGCTAATTAAATTTTTATAACAGTATTTCTATGTCAAATACAATTGGATATTTGTGGCATTTAATTGTTGTGATGTGATCATAATCATACTGTTATAATGATACATAAAATGTTATTGCATTTAGGAATTATATTTTTAAAGTTTGAAATTGCATACACGTGCACTTCCTTGAGTTTAGCTTATCTGGACTGACCAAGATGACCGTTTTGATTTTTAACTGTATTAGGTCTAGATTTTGCACTTGTAACAGGGGTAGCTAATAATATTTCCCTTCAAATAAAATGTGAATTATTCACAATGCTTGCTGCTGCTGAAAATTATGCCATCTTTGCCAAGCTTACGAGGATAATGAAAAAACACAGATTTTTATTTTTAAATACTCAGAGACTTGAAAACAAGCGGATTTAAAATTATCTGGTTTTTTGTCTTTGTATTACCATCCCTAAACAGTAAGTTCAAAATTTCAAAGGCTGGAATTTACGTGTGTTGCATTTTCTCACAGAAGTTGTTCAGTTATCTTCCCCTGAAATAGGATTAAACTTTTCTTTCTTTAAGAGTGTAATTACACTTCATTTTCCGTTGATGTGTTTGTGCAGAGAAAGCATTTTATGCTTTGAAGAGAATGCAACCAAAGAAAAGAAAAATTGTTGATCGTCGCGCATCAAAAAGTCGCAAGATTAGGTATTGAAAGATGATTATATTTTTTTTTTACCGTTGTGTATATCTTGTTGTGTATATCTTGCTTGCACTCGTTTATGAACTGAATAATTTTTTAATGATTCGATGAAGGTATAATGTTCATGAAAAGATAGTAAATTTTATGGCTCCACTACCTGCCAATATACCTCCTATGGCTCCGAAGTTGTTCGAGAATCTGTTTGGATTGAAGACACAAAGATCATCTGCTGCAGCCTCATAAATCATTGGCAGGATTTGCCTCAGTTTTGCCCTAACATGGTGTACACTAATTTGTCTCCTTCATGATGTTTATTATTGAGGAATTTGATTTTTTTTTTCTTCACGAAACAATATTGCTGTAAATCAATTCAGATGCCTGGTTTCTCCTTCAGTGTTCATCGAGGGATTGGTTCTAATATAAAATAGTTCTGAATTTGCTTCACAAATTCGTGGTTCGATTGGACCCTCAGAGACCATAGATTTTTGAAGGTCAATTTTGAATTAAAAGTAATAAATGAAGTATATTTCTATATATATATATATATATATATATATATATATATATATATATATATATATATATATATATATATATATATATATATATATATGAAGGGATCTTTTTTATAATCGTTTTTTATTCTAGTTGGAAAGAAAAAAATAAAATTATTATAATTAAAAAATGTTTTTATAATTAATACATTTAAAAAAGAATAAAAATGTGAAAAAGAAAAAATGAATAGATTTAAAAAGTAAGAAGAAAAAGTAAAATAAAATTTGAATTAATATTTTAAAATTATCAATTATAAAATAATATAGTTACACGCACTTTTTAACGCATGTGTTTCTATTTATATGCATAAATATAGTTCTAAATTTTAAACATTTAGTAATATATTAAATGTATATTTATAATAAGTACGTGTCATTTTTTAAAATTTTAAATATATTATGATTTATTCTTTCGGTAATGTAGGAAATAAAAAAAATATTTATTGAATATAAATATATAATTATTCAAATTCGAGTGTTTACTTATGCTACCGTAAATATATTATCCAAATACGCATATTATCAAAATACGCCTAATTTTTGAGTTTTTAGTAAATAGTTTCTAAATTTTTTTATATGAACTATCAAATAGATATAATCGGTAGTAATTATAAAATATTATTTTAATATTTTAATAAAGATGTTACTTTTAACTAAACGAAAAATTATAATTTTCGGATTTATATTACAATATATATTGAAAATAAATTTATCTATTATTATTATTATTAATAGTAATAATTAATGTTTATGTTTTAATCTTAATTTCATTACTTGTTAATTTGAATGTTTTTTAAGGATTGACGGCAAAATATAAATATAACTAGGCGAATGAATGACCCACAAACATTTGAATGGTCTATAAATGAGAAAATTAAGTTACCACGTGAACCTTTGGGCATCTCCAACGGTCACATCTCCACAAGAAACTTAGAATTATTTTTGAGAGTAGTTCAAAAAGTTGTTAGGAATACCCACTTCATATTTTTTATTTACCTCTAGGGAATCTTAATATTTTTTTTTTGTGATTTATTAAATAAATATGAATAATAAAACATTGAACGCAAACTTTGTTTAAGAAATATTTTGAAGTTATTAAATTGAAGTGAATGTTTAATTAGATTACTTAAAATAATAATAAATGGTTTGATTTAATAATTAAGTATGGAAAATAATACCGGGATTTAATAATTTTAGGTGCTCGACATAGAGGGAAATATATTGGTTTTTGAACTGAAAAAAAAAATCCTATGTTTTAACTATCATTAAATTATAAACTACCATATATAATAAGTTTATTTAATATTTTTACAATAACCACCTTAAAACGCACTAACAGTTATTTGTAATTAAATAACAATAATACACTTTCGATACATGACCGTATATTTAACTAAATTGTCGTTTTTTTTTCCACAAATATATATACACATTAGTACAAAATGAACCTTTTACATTATATATTTAAAATTTTTTATGTCTTGTATAAGATTGACATTAAATCTGGAGACATAAATTTACATCGGTCCTTTTGACTGACGTAAATTTATATCAGTTATTGAGATTTGACGTTAATCTACGTTGCATATATTACTAAATAGAGGTAAAAATGTTTTGAAAATTTAAAAAATTGGACGAAATTTACGTTGAACATGTGCATGTGCGACGTAACGTGTGCATGTCCGACGTAAACTTACGTCGCATGTGTACATATTCAATGTAAATTTATGTCGCACATGTATATATTCGACGTAAATTGACGTCGCATGTGTGCATGTCTGACGTAAATTTACGTTACATATGTGCATGTCCGACATAAATTTACGTCGCATGTATGAATGTCCGACGTAAATTTCGTCCAATTAAAATTTTTGAAGTCTTTTATATATGTTTAGTGATATATACAATGTAAATTAATGTCAGGTCTCGATAATTGACATAAATTTATGTCTAACTAAACATCTCTCAGAACAACAGTTGTTCTTTCACGTATCATATCCTGTAAATTATCATCATTTCTTCGTTAAAATTTTCTGTTGTTGACATAGTTGAGATGTCTAATATTTCTCCATGCCATTTTCATATTGTATAACTCTTAATAATATCATAAATAAACAAGAAGTAATCACGTATATCCTCAAGTTTATGACGAATTTGATTCAAACAACGAACGCATGAACAATAATATGTCCCTTTCATAACTTTTCCATTTTCACTAGCAAATTTTAAAAATTTCTCAACTCCCTTTTCGTACTCTTTACTAATACAACGTGCATTCATCCAACTTCGATTCATATCTACCTATGTTATAAATTTTTGTCACTCCTAAAGATTCAAAATTTATATTTTAAAAAAATTTAATATACAAACAACAAAGAAAGTGATTGAGATGTAAATGGAGTGTGTAAACCGAAAATGCACTCAAACAAATAAATAGATAATGACATTCCAATAACAATCCAGATGAAGACATTAATGCAATAATGTGATTGAGATCTCAAAAATAATCACGAATTCAATATGAACATACAACACGAGACATAGAACACTAACTTCAAGTATACATGAAAACGATTTAAAACTCGAATCCAATCCTAGAAAAACATCAACTTCAAAAAAAAGACACAATATTAATGTTTTTTACAGTTAAAATGACAAAAATAGTGTGAAAAATATAATGTCGGCGATCTAAAAATTCTTGTTACCCAAACAAGGAAATGACACTAAAATAAAATAAAAATGTAATTTTTATGTCAGATCTAAAAAAAGATGACGTAAAAAAATTCTTTTATATTGGACCCTATTGGTATAACGTTAAAAAAAAACTCTGTTACGTAATTTTTTTTTGGGTTCACGTAAAAGTCTATCTCATTTATAAAATTACAATCACATTGTTTTTTTAAGTTGGATATTTTTGAATCCCAAGAAAATAAGGTCACTTAAAATATTGAATAAAATAAGGTCACGTAGAAGAAGAAATTTTTGCACTAGTTACTTTTCTTCTTCTGTTTTCTATTTTGCAAACCACACCTTTTGACAACCACTTTTACATTTGTTTAGGGGTAACGCTAAAAATATGAAATCTTCCACTTCCCACATAAATTGTGCAGCACAAATCAAAATCTATCACGCCATTCATGTAAATGTGAATAAATAATGTGTGCTTTATGCTTATACGCAACCATCGCTAATTGGTGAATTAAACTTCATGAACTTTTCAAATGCAAAGATACAAAGAGAAAATAATATAAAGGAAGCACACTATCTTTGGGCCCTACCCTAGATCTTGTTTCTTCTTACTTTATAGTCAATTTTAGGTCAATGAGATTATAGTACATATTTAAACGAGAAAGTGAGAAAAATTAGGCCCAATGAAATGTCACAATCAATAAACTTTTTAACGGGTAGGGGAGAAAAATTAGGCTGAAGCAGGTGAAAGTCTTTGTTTATAATTTGATGAAGTCAAGAACAGTAGTGACAGAGACTAATAAAGATCATTTACCCTTGTTTTATTTTTTAGGTATTTTTTTCCCAATTTAATATTATTTCATTTGAATGAAAAAAATATATATTTATATCTATGAATGAACGTAAGGCTATGTAAAAATTCATAAATTATCATAAAATAATATTATACATGTTTGGTGTACAAGTGCATGATTTTAAAAAATTACTTTTTTTTCACGTATCCGAATCTCTGCATCTTCGGGCAAGTTCAGGCCTATATATCGTATTTTTTTAGGTTAATTAAATAAAAAAACTTCACTAAATTTACACTTATTAAGAATGATGGTTAGATTTATTTAATATTTTTATTTTATACAATGTAAAGTATATTTCTAAATTATTTTGAGTTCTATTCATGGGAGATGATTTCTATAATTAAAAATAAAAATATTTTAAAAATAATAACATTTAGCTATATTTATTGAAAATGATTCCTCTTATTAAAAGCAAAAATATTTTTGAAATAACTTAATGTCTAACTTACTTTTTTTTGCACCATATTAAGTGATTTAGAAGATGATATAGACATAGAAACTATTCAGTTTTTGAAGATGCCACACATCCCTTGTATTAAACAGCCGCCTCATATATACAAATCAAAGTCTTTCACTTCATCAATGGGAACATGAATGTCAAATTAAATACGCAATCTTTGCTAATTGGGGAAATCAATTTTTTATTTATGTAACTTTCAAATGGTCATGTAATGTAATGTAGAGTCAAGTGGTTTAGGTTAGTGAGAGTGAAACAAGTAGTTTAAATGTAGAGTATTCTGCCGGCCATGCTGTCATCCAATTCAAAAACTTGAGAAGAATTACACCGTGAGTTAAAATATAGAGTATTCTTCAGTGAATTTAGTTATGTTTGTACTACAGTGTCACCATGCATCCACCACTTTCTTTGAATTATTTTCAATAATCTTTGCATTATTAAACATGAGTTTAAAACATCTTCCCTTGCAGCATGAGAGTGTAAAGTAGGACAAATTAAATCTGAGGTCCAACAGACGTTTGAATGGTCAGAAATGGCTGGCTGAGATACTAAAATTAATGCAATAAGACAAAACATATACTAAAAAATTCCCATAAAATAGGTGTTCCCGACTGGGAAATCTGCATACTTAACGTGGTGTGCACTCTTCTTCCTCCCTATAAATATACACCATCCACCAACGCTGTTATTCAGAAATATTCCATTGATCAAAACACACAGAAATAATCCAAAAACTTCTCAGAAAAACCAGATTATAGCCATGGCTTCAGAGTGGTCTATACTAGGCACATTCACTGCAACAGTTATGATAGCATACACTCTGTTTGATAAGTTCATCCCAACCCATATCCGTTCCTATGTCCAAATATACGTTCACAAACTAATTGGTTTTCTTTCTCCTTACATCCAAGTCACCTTCCCCGAATTCTCAGGTGAACGTCTTAAACGCAGTGGGCTTTTCACTTCCATCCAAACCTATCTCATTGAAAACTCTTCTCAGCGAGCCAGAAAACTCAAAGCTGAACCCACCGACAACAGCAACAACCCCTTTCTTCTTTCCATGGACGACAACGAAGAAGTCACAGAGATTTTCCAAGGGGTGAAGCTCTGGTGGGGTTCTCACAAAACCATGGCCAAAACACAGTCGTTTTCGTTTTACCCTAGTTCTGATGAGAAGAGGTTCTACACCCTCACCTTTCACAAGCGCCATAGAGACCTCGTTTCACGCACTTACATCCCCCACGTGTTGGAACAAGGCAAGTCGATCAAACTGAAGAGTCGGCAACTGAAGCTTTTCACCAACAATTCTTACACCGGTTGGGGAGGGTATAGAAAATCGAAGTGGAGCCACGTTGTGTTTGAGCACCCTGCGAGGTTTGAAACCCTTGCTATGGAGAAAACAATGAAGGAGGAAATTATAGATGATCTTATCACGTTCAAGAATGGAAAGGAATATTATGACAAGATAGGGAAGGCTTGGAAGCGTGGCTATTTGCTGTATGGTCCTCCGGGAACGGGAAAATCTACCATGATTGCTGCTATGGCAAATTTTATGTACTATGATGTGTATGATCTTGAGTTGACAGCAGTGAAGGATAACACACAGTTAAGGACACTGCTGATTGAGACAACCAGTAAGTCTATAATTGTGATTGAAGATATCGATTGTTCTATTGATCTCACTGGGAAGAGGATGGTGAAAAAGGAGAAGGAAAAGAGTGAGAACGTGAAGGATCCTATTAAGAAGGCTGAGGAAGAAGAGAGCAAAGAGAGTAAGGTGACTTTGTCGGGTTTGTTGAATTGCATTGATGGGATTTGGTCAGGTTGCGCAGGAGAAAGGATCATTATTTTTACTACAAACCATGTGGACAAGCTAGATCCTGCTCTTATTAGAAGTGGAAGAATGGACAAGAAAATAGAGCTATCTTATTGTTGCTACGAGGCTTTTAAGGTTCTTGCCAAGAATTATTTGGATGTTGATTATCATCGTTTGTTTTCTGTTGTTGAGGGGTTGTTGAAAGAGACAAAGATGACACCTGCTGATGTTGCTGAGAACATGATGCCGAAGTCAAAGAGTGATGATGTGAACACATGCTTGAAGAAGTTGATTGAATCTCTTGAGAAGGCAAAGAAGAAGGCTGAGGAAGAAGCACAAAAGAAGGCTGAGGAAGAAGAAGCAAAGTTGAAGGAAGAGAAGGAAAAGGAACAGAAACAGGAACAGTTAGCAGTGGAAGAGGCAAAGAGTGATGATAAAGCTGGGAAAGAGGTGAAGGAAAATGGTTTCCATTGATTTGGAAAAAGGGATAAACAAATATTAACAATTGAAATTAATATGCATGCACCATGTGGTTCTGCTGCTGTGTATATTCTAGGAACATGTGATCTATGTGTGAATAAATTATTTGAATTTATGTACATATGAAGTGTACTTGGTTTGGTTTGGTTTGCATATTAGGATTTCATTGTGTATATGGTTTGTATATATATATTAATGTATTATAAACAATTTATCTGTATATGCTTGGTTTTGTATATTAATGTGTTGCATCAGGATTTCAAATTGCATGGTTTCTAAAATATGTTGATATTGATCACGCGTGCTCGTTTATTCTTCCTAAAAATGAGGAGGTTAATTATTTTTATACAATAAGTTATTGTAATTAAAGTAAGATGAATATATGTTTTGAAATATCATATAAAAATTTGTATTAGTAACAACTTTTTAAATTATTATAATTTTCAGCTTTACGACTTCAACTTCTTAACTTGCTCCCTATAATTATATGAAAATATAATTCAAACATTTTCCTATATAGTTTTACTCTAAATTTTCTATAGAAAAAATATATTAATTTGTTTGATTTAGTTATGAAAATTTGATTTTGAAAATAAATTAAAAACCATATGATTAATAATCCTAGTCGACGATGATAAAAAAAATCACAGTGAAATTGGAAAACAATTTTTTATAACTTCTTGTGATGATTATTTTAGAAGACAATAATACTATTAATGAAAGTAAAAAAATAGAAAGATAATTTTAGTATTTTTTATTATTATTTTTTAAATTAAGAAGTAAAAGTAATTTTCAAAAGATATTTCCACTAAACAATAATAAACAATTATTCTTTTTCATTTTTAAAAATTTAAAAACTAAATACTACTTTTAAAAACAGAAACAAACAAGTTCAAGTATACCAATATTATTAAACCTAATTTTTTTAATTTTTTTATATTGCCGTTAACAATCTTGTACATTCATATTGGACCAATTTCACAATTATATTTCACTGTTTAGTTTTATTTCTAATAAAAAATTGATGAGATTTATTTATTTAATTATTATAATAATTCCTTTTCTGCTGGCTTAAAACTTGTAGATATTATTTGATTAAGATATTTGAAAGATATTAAACAATGTTTTTAAGGTTCAAAGCCATAAATGACTAGAATATTAATCTCTTTCATGGTTTTGCTTCTGAAAATCGAAAATCTATAAAAATTGTGCCAGATCAATCAAGTTGCTTATACAAAATAAATAATAATAAAATCGTTTTTGCAAATAACAAATGATTAATTTAATTTTGAAAAATACCATTTTTTTACTTAAAAGCTTCCCTTTATTAATATAAAAAAATATATAAAGTTGATATGTTAACACGTAAGATTTTATAGTGATACGTCGAATCAAACAATGTTATTGAGAAAAGGAGATGAAGGTGAAGAAAGTAAAATGACTTTATGTAAAAATAGCGAAACCAAAAACAGAATCGCGGAAGCTTTATGTGATGAGAGAGAGTAATGTAACCTAATAAGTTCCTAACATAACATGATAAACAGTTACCCGTGCAATACGTTGCCGACAATGTGATTTAAACATAATAAACAACCACAACCACATTAAATTCAAACCTTGATATGCTAATATTATTGCTTCTACGTCTTTTCAGAAAACTCTGTTAATGTTGTGGAACGGTGCCGTACGATCGGGCTTTTCAAGAGTAGTCACAATTTTCAAGGGTTGTATTATGAATCCAGTTACTGTGTGACTACCAATGTTTATGAACTTTGTCCATCGTTTATGACTCTTTTCTTTAGAACATATTCTATTATACTGTGTTTCCAATGAACGAATGAATATGTTTCAGATTGATTTTAAGGCTCTTTCTCTCAATATTGTGTTATATCGATTATATTGGCTTTTTGATATATATAATGTTTCTGAAGTTGGGGCGACACTACTGGATCATAAATAATACTTCAACCATATTTTTTTCTTCACTCACAACTTTTTGTCATCCAAAATATTTAAAGTGTGTGAAATGGAATGAGGAAAATTTGAATTAGATGAAAATGAGACGAAGAAAACGCATGGAAAATAAAGATAAGACCAAAAGAGAAAACATATAACTTGAATTGAATTTGTGAAGAGTTTCGTAAAGGAGAGAAGAAAATAAAGGCGTGGATGAATGGATTTTGACTGGGATGGTGAAGATGTGTATGGTTGGTGGCAAGTTGCGAATGTCGGCTTAGCTTTACTACTTGGAGTAGTCCATTATTATTCTCATTTTCCCATCTCATCCAAACATGCCTTAGCTTCCATCGTACCTGACAAAGATGGGGGGGCCAAATTTTCCACTCCATCACACACAAAAGTGGTTTGGACTTGGCAAACATCATTCATTGTCAAATGGATTCGTTTGCAACAAAAAACTTTACTATGCCACTGCCAGCGACCTCTTCCACTTCAACTCAGATTCTCTTGGAGGGACACCACCTCAAAAAGTAAACACCCTTTTCTAGTTCTTATATAATGTGCATCCCTAGCCAAGTAAAATAACACACAACACAAACCAACACACACATTAGTGTTATAGTTAGTGTAGTGTGTTTTGGATGGGGGAACTATGGACACAAATGGGCTCATTGATGGCCACAATCATGTTTGTGTATGCCATGGTAGAGCGTTTTTTCCCGGCTGCACTTCGTGACACTCTTCAAATCCACACTCAGAAAGTGGTGAATTTGTTGTACCCTTATGTGCAAATCACCTTCCCTGAGTTCTCTGGTGAGAGGCTCAAACGTAGTGAAGCTTACACTGCCATCCAAACTTACCTCAGTGAGAACTCTTCCCAACTAGCCAAAAGGCTAAAAGCTGAAGTGGTGAAAGATAGCCAGAACCCTTTGGTGCTTAGCATGGACGATGATGAAGAGGTCACTGATGAGTTCCAAGGTGTGAAGATTTGGTGGGCTGCTAGCAAAACTGCTTCTAACCCTCATGCCTATTCTTTCTCTTACTACTCTCCCCCGGATGGTAAGAGGTATTTCAAGCTAACTTTCCATAAAAAGCATAGGGATCTCATCACTGTGTCTTACATCAAACATGTCTTGGAAGACGGGAAGGAAATTGCCTTGAGAAATAGGCAAAGGAAGTTGTACACCAACAATCCTAGCAGTGGTTGGTATGGCTACAAACAGTCAAAGTGGAGCCACATAGTGTTTGAGCACCCTGCAACGTTTGAGACTCTTGCAATGGAGCATAGAAAGAAGGAAGAGATCATCAACGACCTTGTTAAGTTCAGAAATGGGAAGGATTACTATGCCAAGATTGGGAAGGCTTGGAAGCGGGGCTATTTACTCTATGGTCCTCCTGGGACTGGTAAGTCTACCATGATAGCTGCAATGGCTAATTTCATGAACTATGATGTCTATGATCTTGAGCTGACAGCTGTGAAGGACAACACTGAGTTGAGGAAGTTGTTAATTGAAACTTCTAGTAAGGCTATTATAGTGGTGGAAGACATTGATTGCTCACTTGATCTCACTGGCCAGAGGAACATGAGGAAGGAAAAGGGTGAGGAAGAGGAGCCAAAAGATCCTAATAAAAAGGAAGAAGAGGAGGGTAACAAGAGTAGTAAGGTAACTCTATCTGGGTTGTTGAATTTCATTGATGGTATTTGGTCAGCATGTGGGGGAGAGAGGATTATTATTTTCACAACCAACTTTGTGGACAAGCTTGATCCTGCTCTTATTAGGACAGGTAGGATGGACAAGCACATTGAATTGTCCTATTGCCGCTTTGAAGCTTTCAGGGTGCTTGCCAAGAACTACTTGGATATTGACTCACACCATTTGTTTGTAAGGATTGACAATTTGTTGGAAGTGACCAATGTGACTCCTGCTGATGTTGCTGAGAATCTCATGCCTAAGTGTGTGAATGAAGATGTAGAGACTTGCTTGCTGAATTTGATTCAAGCTCTTGAGAAAAAGGTGGTAGAAGAAGAAGAATCAGATGATTCAGAGTTGAATGAAGAAAAGGACAAGAAGGAACATACTCAACAGGAGATGAAAAGTAATAGGCACACTGTGGAAGATGTGAAGGAAAATGGATTCCTCCTTTGAGTGGGAAATGAAATACTCTGACTGAGATTGCTACACTTTCTGGTTAAAACATCAAGTCTGCTACATTTTTATTTTGTCCACTGTATCTTTTCAGCTGAATCGATAGCAATCATCTCTTGTAGTTCAATTTGTGGTTGAAACATCTAATCAGCTATATTATTGTGTTGATCTTTAAGGGCTCAATTAGATCTATCATTCTCTTTCACACGTTCTTCTTGTTCCACTTCAATTTCAGGTATTTTCAAACTACATAGTACCTGGTGCTGGTAGAACTACACCTACAAGAAAGAAGCATATCCGTTATGTTTCATTACAGAGCTAGACATTTTTTCATTTTATACCACAATCAATTAATTATCTTAACATTCTTACTGTTCGTTTTAATCGTTAAACGCAATCCTCTTGTTAACCCTTCATAATTTTCCTACCAATTTTTTAGGAATTCTTATAAATATCCGCCCAAAAATGGGAGATAAGTCAAGTAACTGGGATCACGTATCTCAAATCATCCGAAATATCTAAAATATTCGATAACAAAAAAAATATCTCTTAAATTCGGAACGCTTACAATCACTATCATTTTATAAAAAAGTTATGTATTCCTCTCCTTATCATCTATTTTCTTAACTAATATTTTTTACCTGTTGACTAAGTATTAGAAAGTCTTTTCCTGTATCAGTTCTTTGTTTTATACTTATTCTGAAGGATTGAAACAAATCCGAACACTTTCTTCAAACTAGATAGAAACATAAAACAAACTCAATCAAAACTTCAAGATCTAATGAATGTAACTAACAAATCATTTTGTTATGACAAATATCATTCTTTGACCTTACAATATTAAATTTACTTTCAAAGTTGATACATATGATTAACGTTTAGAACCTAATTTAAAGGATTTTTAAAATTTGAAAGACTATTTAATATTTTTTTTATATATCTTAAAATTTATATATATATATATATATATATATATATATATATATATATATGTTTTACTTAGCATAAAACTTTTATAACTATTTAGGAAATAAAGTAATACTTACATGTTGAAATTTCTCCAACGTAGTAAGGTATATATTGAAAAATCATACAGAAACCCATTCTAATTACTGATGCTGTTCCATGTTAATATAATTTGGGCCTGGGCCGCTCATAAAAGCTCAAAACAACTGAAGACCACCGCTCTTGTTTGATAATTTAAACACGTGCTTAATAATTTAGTTTGCAAATCAAGACTCAAGTATACTAAACAATGCTGATACTTTCGTTTTTTTTTTTAAATTATAGTAAATAAATTCTATTTTAACAAGTACTATAATCCATTTCATCCAGAAAAATAGTTTTCAACTAAAAAAATAGAATTTTAAGAAGTTCTCTAACCATTCACATGATAAACTATTAAGATATATATAAATATATTTTGTTATTATATTTTAGATAAGTATATATTTAGGTAATGAGAAAACTCAACAGGTTGATATTGATTGTGGCAAAACTGTTACCATTCACACTGTTCTTTCTATTTCTCTTTCAAAGACATGACCCATATATCAATTGGATGTCAAAAATGTTTTTCTTTATGGTGAGTTACAAGAAACAATTTATATGCATTAACCGTTAGGGTATCGTGACCATACTCATTCGGATTATGTGTATCATTTGCGTAAGTCATTATATGGGCTTAAACAAGCACCCCGTGCTTGGTATAAGCGGTTTACTAATTATGTCGTGTCTTTTGGTTTCTTAAATAGTAAATGTGATCACTCATTATTTATTTATCGAAAGGGTTCACATAACTTACATTTTGCTCTTTGTTGATGACATAATTCTTACTACCTTGTCTCATGCCCACCGATTATATATTATGAACCTTCTGAGCTCAGAATTTGCTATGAAGGATCTTGGTCATTTGAATTATTTTCTTGGCATTGCAGTGACCCTGCATAAGGGTGATATGTTCCTTTCACAACGCAAATATGCCGAGGCAATTATTGACCGGGCCGGTATGTCTTCCTGCAAGTCATCTCCAACACCAGTTGACATCAATGCTAAGGTGGGTACTACTTCTAGCACACCTTATGAGGATCCCACTCTTTATAAGAGTTTTGCTGGGGCTCTATAATATCTCACTTTTACTAGACCAGATATCTCTTATGCGGTGCAAGAGATGTGCTTATATATGCACGATCCAAGGGTGGACCATATGCAAGCTCTCAAACGTGTTTTCGGTATTTGCAAGGTACACTTGATCTTGGTCTTCATCTCAATTCATCTTCGACCACATCTCTTGTTTCTTATACTGATGCTGATTGGGGTGGGTGCCCTGATACGAGACGTTTTATCTCGGGTTACTGTGTGTTTTTGGGGTGACAACTTGGTGTCATGGTCCTCCAAGCGTCAATCTACGCTCTCTCGGTCTAGTGCAGATGCCGAGTATAGGGGTGTTGCTAATGTGCTTTCTGAGTCGTGTTGGTTTCAAAATTTGTTATTGGAATTGCATTGCCCGGTTACCAAGGCTACTTTGGTGTATTGTGACAATATTAGTGCTATCTATTTGTTAGGCAACCTGTGTTAGACAAATGACATCTAGAGGGGGGTGAATAGATGCACAAATTGAAATAGATGTCAAATTAAAAATTTATTTTAAGACGTTCAATAATTTATTAATTCAATTTTAATAATCAGATAAAATATAAATAAAGCGAAAACGATATAATCAGATAGATAAAAAAGGAGATGTAAGCATAGAGATATAAGGAAAAGAAGAACGCACAGTAATTTATAGTGGTTCAGATATAACCAACCCTACATCCAGTTTCCAGTCAACTCTAAACACAAGAGTGACCCCAATTCACTATCTTTCGAATTCAATTTACAAATTACAATCAACTCAGCAGAGGAACCTGATGAATGTTTATTTTACCTCACATTTATAGATTAAATTAGGTCAATTGCATGCATTTTTTATAACAGTTGAACAATGTTTTTATATATTACCGTTGCATTTAACTTGTAGTGTAGTTTCTGTGTTTTGTTAAAAATACAGGTGCAATTAGAACAATTTTGGTGTGGGCTTGCATGGCTGGCATCAATCATAGGCTGACAATGGAATTCTTAATTTTCTTTGCTATTGGGCTTGGGCTGGAAAAGGAAAAGGCAGTTGTAGCAGAAAGGAGGGTTGACGTGGAAAGTTTGCTACGGGAGTTAAAAAGCTGAAGAGAGAGCAGAGCAAGGAGGTATAGAAGAAGGAAGCAACGTCGAAAGTTTTTTTAGGTTTTGAGTTTTTAGAAGCTTTTATGGAAGACTAAACTTTTTTTTCTATGTTAGAGGATTAATGTAATATTCTGTAAGACAAATTCTGAACCTATTTATCTTGATACATTGTAATTTCATTTACTCTAATACTTTATCTATGATTTTTTATGTTTAATTTTAAGCATTTATATTTGGACAAATTGATACTGTTTATGTTTATAGATAAAGTAAGTTGAGTTTTTTGTTTAATTGGAAAATTATACAAGCTTAACTAGTTTCTGTGGAGGAAAATATTAACCATCCAAGTTTCAGTGAATTTTTCTTCTTCTAAAGAATTGGGAAATTAAAAGTTCAGTGAATAATTTTACTTACCTAAGGGATTAGGAGGTGAATAACACTTTTAACTCTAATGGGTAAATTTAATTCTTGCATCAATTAAATAGGCTAGGAATTTGTAAGAAGGGATATGAAATTAATCCTCTAGCATATATTTTACTGCAAAAGAAAATTAACTTTTCTGTTGTCATTCTTTTAAACTTTGATTACTCAAACTTAAGAAAAATTAATGATATGATATTCAACAAATATTCAATCTCTAAGGACGATAAAATGATTACTTTTGTAACATTTGGTCCACTTACCAAAAATATACATCATAATCAATAAAAAGCAAACTAATTCAAAAGACAAACACCTCCTTAGAATTCCACTAAGGATGAACACCTCCCTAGAATCCCACTAGAGATGAACACTTCCTCTGAACAAATCAAATGATGAAAACACCTCCTTAGAATCCCATTAAGGATGAACACCTCCCTAAAATCACACTAGGGATGAAAACCTCCTTGAACAAATCAAAGGAATGAAAACACCTCCTTAGAATCCCACTAAGGATGAACACCTCATTTGAAAAATCAAAGGATGAACGATAATCACAATCACAACCACAACCACAAACACACTGATCAAGAGACAATATGCACATCTAAACCCACAAAGGATGAATGCAATAAAATAAGAACAACAACCCAAACCCTAAAAGGGAATTTTGACGACAACCAGCTAAAAGCACAAAGGATGAAGACAATAAAATAAGAATAGTCACACCTGGGTAATGAAGACAACAAATTGTAGAAGCTTGTAGAATACTAACCTCTAAGAACAAGTGTGATTAACAATAAAAGCACAAAAGACACCAGAGAAGAGAGTTTTCTCAGAAGGTGTAAAATATCTCTGTTGCCTTGCTCAAAATTCTTTTCTCAAAACTGATTAAATGTAAATTGAATTTTTGAATTATGTATTTGTGTGTTTTAATTTTTCATCAAAATTCATTTAAATAAGAAAATAATATCAGAAAATAGTTGTTGGTCATTAATAATATTATAGAGAAAATCAGGATGTATCCAAAAATATTTATTCTTCAAAAACGGATATTTTTTTCAAATATAAACTGCCATAATTGATTATGTTACCAGTATAATCGATTATGACAAAGAGAAATCGTTTTTCCATTTCTGATGCATCATAATCGATTATGACACTGAAAAATGTCATGTTACGAAATTTTATCACACTTGTGTTTTGGAGGCTTATGCATAATACTACTTCATCAACTTGTACCTCCATATCCAGTATTCTAAGACTCTATCTAGTCTTCAAGCTTCATCTTGGGCTTACTTGAATAATCATCTTTATCAAAATCATATTTTATGCTTGCTTGAGTCTTGAATGTTGTGGACTTG